ATAGACCCGAATGAAAAATGGATGCATTTAATTAATCTTTTTTTTTCCATTGGGGATATATTTAAAACCTACCAGAAAGTAACAATGCGAATCACTGTCTGGAAATCTATTCGTGAAGAGGACTCTACATAGGACATGAGGTCACCGATTTAGACTGAAAGAAAAGAGATTTGTCTAAGGCAAAGGAAAGAGTTCTATACAGTAACAAAAATAAGGACATGGAATTCTCTGCCTGAAAATCTGGTTTTATCAGAGTCTGTATAGATGTTTAAACAGCAACTGGATAAATACTTGCAAAACATAATATTCAGCAATATAATTTTTAATATTTGGGGTAAGAGCTTCATCATTCAAGGAGAGATCTGGCTGCTATTCTAGGGTTGATAAGGTATTTTTTTTTCTAGTTTTTGCAAAATTGGAAAACGTTTTAAACTGGAATTTATTTTCGATCTTTTGGATCAGCAGCAAAAACAGATGTGTGCAGGGCATTTTTTTTAATCACAGCGGCCCAGTGGCAAGGGGGGGTGGGACATGCCACCCCTCAAAATGAGCATATTGGTTCATTGCTCTTCCAGGGCAGCCCATATGCATAGCTTTTGCATGACTGGCTATGTTTGCTGGTGACTTGTCTCTGGTCTCTTTATATGTGGGATTCCAGAGGTCAAAAGGCTGCTTGTGGGATTATGTGTGTGTAGAGTGAGCTGATTGCGCTATAGTGTTTTTGTGTTTTGGTTTCAGTTGTGTCTTGTTTGTGGTATATGCCTGGCTGTATAAAGTGTACAAAGTGTGTAGAGGGGTCATAGGGTGTGAATTGAGGATGCAGCTAGTGAGAAGAGACTGTAAAGAGTATGTGTTTTTGTGTACAGGAGATTCAGAGTGTGTCTAGGGGGTGTAATGTGTGTAAGTGATCTAGTGTGTATAGAGGATGTAGTGTGTGTGTATGTGGTGCAGTGCGTGTATGAAGGATATACTGTCTATAGGAGATGTAGAGTGCGCAGTGTGTGTGAGGGCAATAGTATGTGTAGGGGTGCAGTGTTTATGTGAGTGGTGAAGTGAGATGCGAGCAAATATATATATATATATATATTTTTTTTTTTATTAACCCCACCCTACTTATCTTTTGCCAGGGAAGATGTACTTTGCAAGCTCTTGTGGTCTGGTGGTGGCGCATGAACTGTAGCCTGCAGCTCTTCTGGCTGAAGGCTGACTTTACTCCTCTCACGAGCTGAGCGCTGTGTCGGAGCATTGTCATGATAACCGTGGCAACGCTCCGAACTGCTTGCTCCTGGGAGGATTGCCTCCCGGGTCCTCCTTCCCTCCCCTCCGGACCAAAGAGGCAGACAGCAAGGCCAACTCTGCATGGGTGGGCAGGGGAGATAAAAGGACAATGAGTGTTTCTAGTGGCCATCGTGGGTCTCTGGGCGTTTGCCCGTTGGCCCGTCTGGGCCTGTATCTGAGGAAGGCTAAACTTGTAGGATGCAAGTCTTTTTTCAGACTTTGTAACTATGTAAAAGGACCTGTTGTCTGATTGACAGCCAAGGTGTGTAAAAAGATTATTTTACAAGTGGCAGTTTTTAAAATTAACATCTGCACATGTAAAATGAGCAAAAGGACACTCTTTACACATAAAGCATTTCAACAAGCTAAAGTGTTTTAGGTATTTGGAGTGTTTAACAATAGCATTGACTGGACTAAAAATAAATCCATGTTTCATAGCAATGCATTAAGTTCTGAATGAAAGCAATGTCCATCTGTAGGGCTGGGAATAACAATCTAGTGTACAGCACTTCATAAATGAACTAATCATGTTAAACATCAAGACTAGATAGGCGTTCACACCTCATTAATTATCATCACATTATTTATTCACTGAATGCTGAATTGTAGCAGATTGAACACAATCAAAAATACTATTGTATCGCTTAAGTTGGAGACATTCTCTCAGTCAGCTATTTTAGTTGACAATTTGGTTTTCCATTCTCTAAAATTCAGTGTTTTTTCTTTTTCCACTCTCATAAACAAACTCCGTATTGTAGCATAGTAAAATCCAAATGATAACATTTACACACACACACACACACACACACAAAAAAATTACGTGGAAGAATTCTCTCATGGTACAGCATGTCTATTCTAGTCAATACTTTGCTATTCGTATTTTTAATGCATCAGATTTCAAAGTTTAGTGCATAAACCTCACAATCACTTATTAGTCAGTCGTCAGTGACAAAAAATTTTGTTTAAGAATTTTTCAGTTCAGATATGGTGACATAAAATCAGCAAAACAAAAAAAAGCACACATGCAAATTGTATGCCATGTTGGTAAAAGGGCATTTTAGCATATTTTAGTATTTGCCGTTTCGTTCTAGTGTATTTCAGCATTTTTTAATTATTTTTTTTTTTTGCATTGGAGATGGTATGCTAACAGAGATGCTCCAAATTAATTAATTTATTTGATTGTTTTTAGTATATTTGTACAGCGCAAACAAGTTTGTTTTCCTGGCACTATTGCGGTCCTTTAAGGTAAAAGTGTATTTTAATAATGACGGTTAATAATAAAATACGCTATCTGCTTTTAGCAAGATTGCAAAATAATAAAATACGCTAAAGTACACTTTTACCTGCCATGTTAAAAAATACGAATTCTAGAGTGTACACAAAATGCAAAAATATTCTTTGTCTGCAGAGTGACCCAATTACTTTGTGCAGAGCAATGCATTTAATTTGCTTTGTAGTTCTGATAAGCAGGGAGTAGGTTACTTATCTCATAGAACAGAATGAGAGAAGACCTTCTCTATTAGCACTGTGGGAGTATCCTGACTGACACACGTGGTACTAAGATCATGTGACCACTCATCTCTTCCTCTTCCAGGTTCCTAGCTTCTGGCTCTGAGGTCATTGCTTTCACTGCAGAGATACACTGTGATCATTTTACAGGTGAGTGTTATTATATAATATGCCTCTGCTAGCTCCTGGCATGTTCTGTGCAATGATTACAGGTTATTAGACTGTCCATATATATATATATATATTTTTTTATATTTATTTGCGAGATCTGCATGAGATTTACATTTAATTCATCACTGTGTTCCTGTGCAGCCCACGTTTGGTGAATTGTGAATAGAATGCTCGTTGCCTGCTAAGAGATGATAGTTTGGGTGGTGGGTCAGTGACTTTGTATCTGTAGACGGCTGTTCTGTAAGATAAGGCTCCAAACAGTAAGAATATGCCCAGTGCAGGGCTGCCAGACCCACCCCACATTACTGGACACATCCATCCATGCTTATGGCAACATATCATTCACATGATATTGCAGGAGGAAAATGAATCAATTATTTATATAACAACAACAGTGTATGCAGTGCTTTGCAGTTATACAGTGGGAATAGTTAACAGTAAGTAACTGACATACACAGATAATGTTGGCAGACAAGGACCTGCTCAAAATGTGTTTACAATATAGAGCTCAGGGTAGTTTATTTGGGATTCCTCCTGGATTGATTTATTATTATTATTATTATTATTATTATTATTATTATTACGATTATTGTTGGCATTTATATAGCGCCAACATATACTGCAGCACTCTGCAATTACAGAAAGGACATATTTAGCAGTAAGTAAGGCCTTGCTCAAACAAGCTTACACACTGTGAGGATTTGAGGCAGTCAGATATACTGTATTTACTCGCCTCTGATGCATCCCTTATTTTTAAAATTAGATTTCCAAATTTGAATGTGCATTAGATTTGATGGCACATTACATTCAGGGCAAAATTTTAAATTTTCTGGCAAATTCACACAGGTGAATTAAAACTGGTGAATTCAAACAGACAAATTCACACAGGCAAATTTCATTCCGGCAAATTCACACAGGCAAAATGTATCCCTGAAAGCGAGCTTAAGAAAGAATAGACTTAAAGGGACACTCCAGGCACCCAGACCACTTCTGCCCATTGGAGTTGTCTGGGTGCCAACTCCCTTAACCCTGCAAGTGTAACTATTGCAGTTTTTATAAATAATTACCTTGTAGGGTTAAGTCCTCCTCTAGTGGCTATCTATCAAACAGTCACAAGAGGGACTTCCGGGTTCTTAAAACACGAAAAGTGTTTTAAACGAGGCTAGACGTCCTCACGCTATGCATGAGGACCTCCAGTGTCGCCGGCATCCCCATAGGAAAGCATGGAATGCGCATTAGGTCTCTGCATTCTTATGGGGAAATAGCTGACGACTGGATGTCCTTCTGCAGAGCGTGAGGACATCCAGCATCCGTTAGCAGCCAGGAAGCTCCTCCAGTCTGCTAGACAGCCACAGACTTAGTCCTGCAATGTAAACATTGCACTATCTCTGGAACTGCAGTGTTTAACATTGCAGCACTAAGTGCAATAGGGACACTGTACCCAGACCACTTCAATGAGCTGAAGTGGTGTGGGTGCCTATAGTGTCCCTTTTAAAGCAGCACTGAAACCATCTGGGCACTTTGCAGAATTCGCGAAGATCCTCGATGGTGACATCACCGTTGCGGGCGGGGGAGGCAAGTAAAGGTAAGATTTGCTTACTTGGACCTGTCCCTTACCGGATGCAGCCATCTTCCTCTGGGGAGTCTTCTTCAGAAACGCCAGGAGCTGACGCCACTGCTGTACTCTCGCGCATGTGAGAAAGTACAGCATTGAGGTCTATTGAGGATCCCACAAGACCACGGAATCCTCCATAGAGTAAGTAAATTCCATGCAGCCTTCACTGGTGGGATTGAAACTTCTAGAAGTCTCAGGCGTAGGAAATCTATAGCTAGCGGCTTCTTTGTCTCTGTATATCTCTTTCAGTTGAATTCCATCACGGTCAACATGAGTATTTCATACAGATTCTATCTTTATGAAATAATAATTTTTTAAGGGTGGGGTGACAGTGCAGCTTTAATGATCTTGAAATACCTATCGCTGCTCAATGGATATTTGTTATTTATTTTAATATTTTAACGTTGTATTAATTCTCCTGTTTAGAATGCCTGTCGACTGGTTTGGATTTAGCTATGCAGCACTGGTAGCTTCTGGAGGAGTGATTGGCTATGTTAAAGCAGGTATGAAAGAGTTTTATCATTTATTTTTCTTGCATCCACTCCCCACGTATATACAGGGTTATTTTCCAAATTGGGAATTGATGGGATTGACTAAGGAGCTTCATATTTTAGACTATAATTGGAAACATTCCCCAACTAGAGATGTCGCGAACTGTCCGCCGAACTGTTGGCGAACAATAGCGTGTTCGCGTTGGGCGAACATATCCGATTTCTGGTCCGCCCCCTATACGTCATCATTGAGTAAACTTTGACCCAGAACCTCACAGCCAGCAGACACATTCCACCCAATCAGCAGCAGACCCTCCCTCCCAGGAAGTGTCTGCTGACTGTGAGGTTCCGGGTCAAAGTTTACTCAATGATGACGTATAGGGGGCGGACCGGAAATCGGATATGTTCGCCCAACACGAACACGCTATTGTTCGCCGGCGGACAGTTCGCGAACAGTTCGGTGGACAGTTCGCGACATCTCTATCCCCAACTTGGCTTGTTTTCCAGCCTTACTATTTCAGTCTAAATGTGGGCACTTTGTGCAGGAAAATCCATACTGCTTTATGGGGCATGTGGAGTGATTGGCGTTCCGTTACTGGACTTTGGTGGACAGAATGTTAACCAAATGCATATTATGCAACTTTATTGAATTAAATTCCCATTTAAATAATTATGACCCGTGATCAGGAAGTTAATAAATCCAAAAGAAAACTAGATTAAATATTTTGACTGAGCATTTTGTATGACAGTATCTGCATCATCTTAAAGATCTGTAACCAAATATATCTGTTGTACAGGACTGAGCTGTTTTGAGCAGTTTGACATGTACATCAGGATGGAATAGAATCTGAATTATTAAGGTTAGAGAACACCATGTTTAAGTGGTAGGGGGATCCATTATTACATGCTCTTTGTTGTTATGGTTGATATTACACTGTTAGTCAAATATACCAGAGATGTGGTGAAGGTTATGGTGAAACACACAGTGGGTGGTGCCTGTAATCACCGTGCAGAGTTAGTTAGTAATCTTGTTAAATTATAATCTTTTTTTAGTAAATCACTATGGCATATTTGTTTGACAGAGTTAAGTTTTGAGACGTCAGAAGAAATGAAAACTGCCATAGTGTTTATTTAACAGAATGTTAAGACATCATTACGTTCTAACTATACCTATAAGCGTTAACAATATTAGATCATATTGACATATGCTAATGTTTTGGTATGACCATGGTTAAAACTCTTCTCACAACAGGGAGATTCAGAACACCATGGCTGAGAGATGGTCAAGCTCAGCCACTGTGATTCTAAGGCTGCAGAAGGTATTGGTTCCTCCTGCATGTCCCCCAGTACAGCTGCCCAACACTGATCACCGTGTAATCTGACCGGGAAAGCATGCGGAAATGCTTCAATCACTATTATAAGAAAATAGACTTTGCAAGGCATTAGGCAAAACTTGAATAGCTCTGTGTGTATTATTTTGATATGCATACATATAAATACATAACTTATGGTGTTTTTAAGACCACTGTTTGTGCTGCCTATTGAAAAACGAAGAACTCCAGATACGAACAGTAACATAGTTGCAGCTCTGATTTGCAGTTGCATTCATATCTCATCTTTTACTTTTTCATTTCAGGCAGTGTCCCGTCTCTTGCAGCCGGCCTTCTTTTTGGGAGCTTAGCTGGGCTAGGTGCCTATCAAATGTCCCATGACTCCAAGAATATACTGCTATCACTGAGTGAGTAATTGGTTTGTGTTCATTTTTAGCATTGGATTACCATTATTTACTTGCACTGGTATATGTTTTTACAAGATTCACACATGACTTAAAAAAGCTCGGATGTCTGATTACCATGCTATCTAGAAATTGCCATTGATTACATCATGTGCATATATTGCATTTTCTGAGCAACCATGAGCTGCTGTAAATAAACCTGTAATTATTATTATTTATAAAGCGCCAACAAATTCTGTAGCGCTGTACAATGGGTGGACTAACAAACATGTCATTGTAAGCAGACAAGATGGAACAGAGGGATTGAGGGCCCTGCTCAGTGAGCTTACATGCTAGAGGGAGTGGGGTAAAGTGACACAAAAGGTAAGGGTAGGAGTAGAGAAGTAGATTGATAGAATAGTATTCACTGAAGACTTAGTGTGTGTTTTTGTATTGTTTTACCTGACCGTTGCAGGAGAGGAATCAATTGAGAGCCATTAACAGTTTAATTGATACGCTTTTGTGAAGAAGTATGTTTGTAATGATTTTTTCAAGTGGAGACTTGGTAAGCGTCTAATGGAGAAGGGAAGTGAGTTCCGCAGGAACAGTGCAGCCCTAGAAAAGTCTTGAAGGCGAGCATCAGAGGTGGAAGTACGGACAGAAGATAGACGTAAGTCTTCAGCAGAGCGTAAGGGCCTAGACGGGACATACTTGTGTATAAGGGAGGATAGATAGGTGGGAGCAGCATTATGTAGAGATTTGAAAGCAAGAGCCAGAATTTGACATTGAGCCCTTACTGTAATAAATGTGAATAGTAGCTAACACTGTAGGAAAAATACAGCACGTTGGCTGCACATCTCTGACATGCCAACCATCAAAGACAGTCTATTTTCTCTGATGACCTTCACCTCTTTCCTCATGAGGCAGCTGCCACAGCCCTGATTTGTACTTCACTGCCACTGGATCAGATTTGTTTTTTACGAATGGAGCAAAACCATTTACAACTTTTTCTTTATTTTTATTTTTTTGGGTAAATGAGCAGTGGAGCATTTATGAAATAACAATTTCCTGGTTATTAATTAAAGTGAGAATTCAAAGTGAATTTCAAATTTTATTCTAATATATCCAAAGTGGAAATGTTTTTTGTGAGGTATGTTTTCAGATTTGCTACTTTGGCCTAAAATTTCAAATTCACTTAGAATTCTCCCTTTAGTGAATAACCTTGTTTCATGTGTTCATTAACAGTATTCCATTTACTTATTTATGTTAATGTTATACAGACTGTTGTTTCCAGTGTAGATCACATTTTGCTTACATCTAAAAGGAAGGCCTCGGCCTAGCTGCTTTTATGGGTATCATCATTCTTCAATATATTTTTAAGAAAAGGGAGTTTGATGCAATAGATCTATTTATTGAAGAAGCTCTATAGTCACCCAGACCACTTTATCTCAATGAAGTGGTCTTGGTGCAGTTGTTTGTTTTTTTTGTTTTTGTTTTTTTTTATAGAAATTGCAGTGTTTACATTGTAGAGTTAAAATCACCTCAGGAAGACACCCGTTAGAGACGTTTTCGCCTGCAGTCAGATTAAAACTCAGACTGGGAACCAAATGCTGGTGACCGCAGTATTTGATTGGAGTTGCGCCGTGTCTTGCCACGCATGCGCTCTTCAATCCAGTGCCTATCTATGAGAAGCATTGGATTAGAAGAGATTGGGGGGATGTTAGCATTGGAGGTTGCAGTGGAGAAGTCCCAGCATTGGAAATCGACTGAATAATATTTATTTAAAAAAATTTTTTAGGGCAAAGGTAGGATGGACAGAAGGGAGCCTATAGTCTTGAAAGAGCGATAGTTCTTTTTGGAACCATAGGTTCCCTTTTAAGGCAAAAACAGAGCAAAGTGCTAAATAAGGAATAACCACTATGTGAACCAATAGAATGTATTTCACCATTTAGTGTTTTGCTTACATAGCAGCACCAATTTTGCCTTGGTAAATCTCTCCATAAATATCCTCTTCTTGGTTTATAGTTGATGAAATAAAGCCTGTCATTTTCTTGATGATTTATAAAAGTGACGATTTTCTATAGAAATTGGCACTTTTCTAATTGTGGACAGAAATACTTCACAGGGTGCCACAGAGCTAACAGAAGCGGCAAGCACGACCATGGCTCTATCACAGAGAATTCTTAATGAGAAGCCTCTGATTGGTGTATTTCCTGACACAGACTGAAAGTCAGTGCTGGGAAAAAGGGGGTGGGCTTGCAAATGCTACAGTTAGCAGGTCTGCAGATTTTGCAAGCGTTTTTTTCCATACACGCCCCAAAAAAATGTTTTCTTTGGGGGTATAGCTCCTAAATGATTAAGATTTAAATGGAGTGTTCATTTGTTGCTCAGTACTGTTTATTTCCTCTTGGACTCATACCTTGCTAATGAACAGTTTATAAGCCAGTACTAATGTCTTTCTTTCATTGCTGCACTTGGTGCACTTAGCAGCTTTTAACTCTTACCTATTAGTCCCTCTCTTTCTTGTTACGCATCATCTATTCTGTCTACTTCACTGAACCTCTACCGCTTCCCCCAGTGTGTGTTAGATTTCCTCAGTAGGCATTGTTACTGCTTCATCTTTGGCCTCTAGGGCAATGCCTCTCTCACTCCTTTTAAAGTCCATTCCTATTTGTCCACGATTGACCGAATGTTATGTGCCTATTTCTAATGATCAATGTTATTGTACCCAGAGTTAATATTTCACCATGTGCTTGCTGTCTCATTTGCCCTATATCCGATTAGCTTATCATCATGTATTTTTGTATTATTGTTTTTTTGGGAACTTCATTTTTTAAAAGGTGATCTCCTTACTAATCTTTCTTTTGTTATTTTTTTCTTTTCCATACTGTTCCACATTTTATTGAAAATTTAATAAAAACATATCTACAAATAAATCCATATTTACTGATTCGCCAAAAATGAACTACTGACTGAGTGACATAACAGCTTTTGTTTTAGATTTTTTGTTTTTTCCCCACTCCTGTCTCTCCCTGCCGACCTCCATTGAACCGAAGGCCTTTTTGCAGCATGACAATATATATATAACCCATACTTATGGTCTCATTGTGTTGTTTAATTTAAAAGGCATTCATATTCAAGCACCACTTACCTCTTAGCCCAGATGAAATGTTGTGACATGACTTGAAGCAAGCAGTTCGTACAAGACTGCCTAGAACGAGCATTAAATTGAAGCGTTGCTATAAAGAGGAATGGTCACGATACCTTCAAGCTGCTATGCAGGATAGATCAATAGGACAAGAAAGGATACTTTTCGAACATACAATGCATGGTGGATCAGTACGTTCAGTTCAACAAGTCATGAAAATGTGGGTTTGTTTTATTTGTATTCTGCCTGCGCTGTTTGTTCAGCAAGATTATCTGTTATTTCAAGATAACACTGTTACATTTCAAGGGTTGACAAACTCTCACCATTGTTTCTTGGCGGCTTTATAAAAATCAATGTACAAAAACGATCTCCTGTCAACAAATTGTATATTATATAAGAAGTGCCATATTGATTTAAAGGATTAAAAAGACTGACTAGACTATTCCTCTTTTTTAAATAATTGTGGGTGAATATGATCAATTACTATCCCACTGTAAAGCGCTACGGAATTTGTTGGCGCTATATAAATAATATCTTAATGAAACATACTTCCAAATCTGTAATTTATTTTCATTTATTTTTTTATTTGTTTTAGTTGCATCTGGTACTTTGGCTGGAGTTATGGGATTTCGATTTTACAACTCTGGAAAATTCATGCCTGCTGGATTGATTGCAGGTGCTAGGTATGTTAAACTTTCACTGCATTGCATAAATGTATTTTATATTGCGACCATATATATGTGTCTATTACATGCTTACATATTGCAGTACTTTAAGCACAGCAGTTTTATTTCTACCTCTGTACAGGTGTTAAGAACCAACATTATTTCTCCAGGTGAAGGTGATAACCACTTATGTTAGAGTGCAAAGAACTCCTTATTGTCTAATATCATCCTACACTTTAGTGTTGCAACTAGGTACCCAGTCCTGCACCTGATATCTTAGAAGAAAAAAAAGCATAGATTTCCCTCTGACTTGACAAGGTCTTGTACAGTCCTTGGTAACTTATGGGCTCATTCATAGGTTTTTCATGAATTTTACAAGGCCAGATGCTTGTGAGAACATGACTTCCATTCTAGGAATTTTGATATAACCTCTATAGTAGCTGTGTGACAGTACATGCAGCAAGGTCTTTCAGTAGAAATCTCGCAAATGGGTTACCCCAGTGCACAGAACTCCCACTGGAAATGAGTGAAGACCCAAAGCTGGTTGATACTTTGTTGTCTCTGCAGACCCTAACGATTTGAAGCAATCAATGGACATTCAGATAATTTTTCCATTATTATGCTTCTCATATATTTGTTTTTGTGTATTCTCTCCATTTTTTGTTCTGTAATAATGATCTTCATAATATAGTTTAAAAAAAAGGGGTGAATCACAAGTCATCGAGCTACATTGTGTAACTTTGGTATATTTTTACTAACACACAGTTTTTTTGTTTTGTTTTTTAACTGCATTTAAAAAAAAAAAAAAAAAAACGTGGATTAGAAGCACTTTACTTTACTGTAGTAATGTTTATATGGTTTAGAATTCTTTAAAAATAGTGTACATTACATAGTCTACATGTGTTTAATATTGTACTAATGCTACTTCTTAAAAAGTTGTTCAATAAATGTCTTTTTTTTTTTTTTTTTCATTTTAATACAGTCTTCTAATGGTTGGCAGACTTGGACTCAAGATGTTGCAGAAACCTCATGATCCATAACGGGAATTAAAGCACTAGCTGTTGTTCATGTGTTTAATTATTCTTTAAATGTATGCCAATTATCTGTTTCTGAATAAACCCACCTATATTTTTACAAACTAGTAACTTGTATGGTGTGATTTCTCTTGCATGTGTTACACAAACAGATCATCATGTACACTATTTATTAGAAGGGAAAATAGCAGCTGTTGCTTTTTGTTTAAACTTAAATAATCTGAATAATAACCACTAATATGATTTTAATGGAAGTAATATTGCATGACCTAGAATTAAATAAAATTGAAAACCTTGGTTTGTTCAGGTTTAAAGAATGAAAGGCAATAAAAGCATGCCAGGAGTGTTAAACTTACACACTATTAGATGCATGTATCCAGCCTATGGGTCATGAGTACAGAAGGAGCATGCTGTTTGACTGCCTGCAGCCCAGCTACATGGATACCAGATAGGTGATTAGTAGATGAGTGGAGCTATGGTTTTTCCATCTCCATGATTATTGGCAAGGAAGTGCAAACAATAAGAATGTCCCTGCTGCAAGGCTTTGCAGTGGATTGCCCAAAGTCATATCCCAGATACATCCCTGCAGCACTATTACAGAGCAAGGCAATGCTCGGTACTTGTGCTTCCTCCACTTGGATGACAGACATTAAGCCTCTTTTTTTATTCATATTATCCATGCCCCACTATTTGTACTTTTATGTTATATTCTGTCCTAAATGGAGAATTAGTCTGACATGTCTGCTGTATGATTTCCTTCATTGATATTTTATAACTAGAATTAATGCAAACATTTGGTGGTTTCCGCCACACGTGCCAAAATAATTCATAGGGATGAGTGTCCTCCTTATGTCTTCCCATAATGTGTATATATTTTGCTGTCATGGACGTGACTAATCTTAATAGACCTGGCTAATCGCCACGTTGGAAAAACGGATGGAATGCAAACACAGATTACTCTTGTTCTGTAGTAAAGTATTTATTAAAATGTATGCTGCCATATAGAAATATATATTAACTTATTAATATTTTACAAATACAGATTATTTTTGTTTCTATTAAACTGTATTTTGCATTAACAAGTACTAACAATATCATACTGTACATGTTCTAGGTAAGAACTGTAAACCATATATAGAAGCTTGTTTATTTTTTTTGCTTTAACCATAAGTATGAATATGATTTTCTAAACTATATAGTAAACGTTTTTCATAACAGTTGGATATTTTGTTTAATTCACTATACAGTCATCAGATGGCGCAATTGGGCAGCCATATTTATTGAATGGCCAATGTACTGTGTTCTAGAGATCGCTCAGAAATACACACCTCTACATGAAACCTTTTGTACTATGAAATGTGTTTACATAGAACAAATATGTAAACTCCACTCTGAAAATGTTTCTAAGGTTCTTTAAACACCTTGTACTTATTGTCCATTAGCTGTAAAATATGACAACTCTTTCATTCAAATGAGCAGTATGTAAAATGGCAGGCGTTTTACTTTTAACAAATCTACAACTTAGTTCACAGTAAGCAATTAAATACATTTCTATACTACTATAGACAGTGCGGTTTATTACTCAAAATAAATGGTCGAGTGCAGTGATTTACATACATAAAACATGACATTAGATGTGAATAGGAGAAGCCATGATGTATTCTGTCCAGTGTAAATGTAATCATCCAATGTCTGCCATCTTGTGCAGTAAGATATGGAACAGCTACAAACTGTGCAAACATTGCTTTTGTTGTGGTATGGACCAATACAAAAGTGAGAATTAAGAAATTATGTTTTTGTTTTTTAAGGAACACTCCAGGCACCTAAAGGGCACAACAGAAATGCTGGTGAAATTGTATAGATGTTTGCATGATGGGATATGCACGGTTTTGCAAAAAAATAAAAATAAAACTTGCATCAGAACACTATTACTTTAATTCCCAACCAAGCTTTGAAACTTACAAGCATTTCCCAGAAAACCGTTTATGTTGATCAGAAACCTCTTGTGCACAGGGATTCTGGGAAAATTAAATATTTGTCATAGGTTTCCTATGGGTTTTCTCCCATTGGCTTGTTCTCATTCATCAATGTTATGAATGAGTAGCATTTGCTTAGGAGAAGGCTCTGTCAGCTTCTATTTACCGGTGTGAGTTTCATTTACATTCTTTTGTCTTTTCTTCCAGTAAATGAGAAGCGGCCAGTGAACCAGTGAATGAGCTTTAACATATAGCTCTCTATACCATTAGTATGGACACTGTACTTTACTTTAATCCTCTGGTATGCAGTAGGGATTTCTGAGATATTTTAGCACTCTTGTTGGAATCAGTGAGTAGAGAACTATGCTCATAAATGCAAAGTTAAGTTCACTCCCACTTTTTTGTATGATAGGTTTTTTTTTTTTTTAAATACATTATATTAAAAAGGGGTTAACTGCATTCTGGAGTGCTCCTTTAGTGGATCCGGATTTCATGCAGTACTGATGTAACTGTTCCAAAAAAGTATTCTGAAATGTTTTACTGTACATTTTGTCTTTACCTGTTGTATTTGGAATATACATTTATCCAATGCTGGAAAAAACAAAAAACATTCAGATGGGAGTGTAAAGTAATTATAGGTTCTCTGTAACAATCCAGGGCTGTGGAGTCAGAACACAAAACCTTCGGCTCCAACTATTCGTTTTATGGAATCACCACCTCTGACTCCTTATCTATAATTATATTACAATTGATTGTATATGCTGGCTTATATGTCAACATGTTAAGTGTATAAAAAAAAAAATATATATATGAATCCCAAAAGCTTGTGGTCGACTAATATGCAAAACAAAGTTTTTTTATATATATGGCTGAGACGAAAATAAGGCCTTTGCATAATTATTATTGATACACGTGATGCTTTACCTTTCTCATACCTCTTTATCACTCCCAACTTCTTTTCTAAAGAAATAAAATTTCTGGAGTGCTTACCATCACTGTTATCACTCAGTTGAGTATGTTTAGGAGTCATTATTCACTCTTATTAATCATATAATAATATAATCATAAAAGGATAAGGTACATAAATGTTTTTTTTTTTTTCTCAACTGGACTATTTGTTGACTTCTGCTGCCTAACCTAGGCACAAAAGTTGCACATTATTTTGGGAATTAACTTATCTGGCAATTATAAGCTTAAACCTATGTTACACATGTAATTTCTGAGTCTTGAAATAACGCCGGATCAACTTACATACCAGCATATGTACATCTAGTGTTGGTATATTTTTACTGACTCTGGCTCCAGTAACCCAATAATTACTTCCAACTCCCCCTCCCCAGTACTGGTAACAATACTTTTAGCGATGGCCGCCATACTTGGCTGCCCAGTCTGTTCTCCCGTGCACTGGCTGAAGTGGTTGTGGCCGGTTTATCAGAGACAGGTTCTTAGTTGCTGGTTTGAATGATGAAGCTGGCAGTTGTGTGCGTACAGTTTTTGTTTTCCAGGCATCAAAATCTGAAAAATACAAACAAGTTATTTGTGCTTCACAACAGGTTAAAAATGTAAAACCAAAATGTCTTAAGTGCAAATGTGTATTTCACATTACACACACTCTATTTGTGGGAATTTGTGGAGTCATTCAGTATGACGATATAGCCTGTACAAATGTACACCAAGTACACACCATCTTACAAGACTGGAAACCGCCTTCAACTTGGCCCTCTCATATTGGTTATTCTTTCCCTTCTGCCTTCCCATCTTTTCAGCAGAATGAGGTGTCTTGATCAGATTCAAATTGTATTTGTTGTGGTAAGAGATGATTGTTTACATTTATTAAAAACTAAAAAACATTATATAGATTTAAAGGACAAGTGTCCTCAAATGTTCACTTCTCGGTTTTTTTAAAAAGTTTTTTTTACACTTAAAGGACAACTGTCACCTTAAAACTATTTTTTTTTATTATAGTTTATAGTTTTCCCTGCACAAAAGCAGGGACGATAATGGAATTAACTGTAGATTTTCAAACGCTGTCTAACACAAGGTGCACATATATGGCTGAAGAATCCTGTCATATACTAAAAGGTAGGAATTCGTTTTTATAATTCTTAAACAAAAAATCAATTTCTTTTAAAAAACTTGATAAACATTTACAGTATTTCACAAAAGTGAGTACACCCCTCACATGTTTGTAAGTATTTTATTATATCTTTTCATGTGACAACACTGAAGAAATGACACTCTGCTACCATGTAAAGTAGTAAGTGTACAGCCTGCATAATAGTGTTTGCTGTCCCCTCAAAATAACTCAACACACAGCCATTAATGTCTAACCAGTTGGCAACAAAAGTGAGTACACCCCTAAGGGGAAATGTCCAAATTGGGTCCAATTAGCCATTTTCCCTCCCCGGTGTGTCATGTGACTTGTTAGTGTTACAAGGTCTCAGTTGTGCTTAGGGAGCAGGTGTGTTAAATTTGGTGTTATCGCTCTCACACTCTCTCATACTGGTCACTGGATGTTCAACATGGCACCTCATGGCAAAGAACTCTCTGAGGATCCGAAAAAAAGAATTGTTGCTCTAAATAAAGATGGCCTAGGCTATAAGAAGATTGCCAAGACTCTGAAACTGAGCTGCAGCATGGTGGGCAAGACCATACTGCGATTTTACAGGACAGATTCCACTCAGAACAGGCCATGCCATGGTCGACCAAAGAAGTTGGATGCACGTGCTCAGGGTCATATCCAGAGGTTGTCTTTGGGAAATAGACGTATGAGTGCTGCCAGCATTTCTGCAAAGGTTGAAGGGGTGGGGGGTCAGCCTGTCTGTGCTCAGACCATACGCCGCACACTGCATCAAATTGGTCTGCATGGCCGTCATCCCAGAAGGAAGCCTTTTCTAAAGATGATGCACAAGAAACCCCGCAAACAGTTTGCTGAAAACAAGCAGACTAAGGACATGTGTTACTGGAACAATGTCCTGTGGTCCGATGAGACCAAGATAAACTTATTTGGTTCAGATGGTGTCAAGTGTGTGTGGCGTCAACCAGGTGAGGAGTACAAAAACAAGTGTGTCTTGCCTTCAGTCAAGCATTGTAGTGGGAGTGTCATGGTCTGGGCCTGCATGAGTGCTGCCGGCACTGTGGAGCTAGAGTTCATTGAGGGAACCATGAATGCCAAGATGTACTGCCACATACTGAAGCAGAGCATGACCCCCTCCCACAGGGCAGTATTCCAACATGATAACGACCCCAAACACACGTCCAAGACGACCATTGCATTGCTAAAGAAGATGAAGGTAAGGTGATGGACTGGCCAAGCATGTCTCCAGACCTAAACACTCTGTTGGGCATCCTCAAACGGAAGGTGGGGGAGCGCAAGGTCTCTTACATCCACCAGCTCTGTGATGTCATCATGGAGGAGTGGAAAAGGTCTCCAGTAGCAACCTGTGAAGCTCTGGTGAACTCCATGCCCATGAGGGTTAAGGAAGTTCTAAAAAAATAATGGTGGCCACACAAAATATTGACACATTTGGACATTTCCACTTAGAGGTGTACTAACTTTTGTTGCCAACGGTTTAGACATGAATTGCTGTGTGTTGAGTTATTTTGAGGGGACAGCAAATTTACACTGTTTACAGGCTGTACACTTACTACTTTACATGGTAGCAGAGTGTCACTTCTTCAGTGTTGTCACACGAAAACATATAATAAAATATTTACAAAAATGTGAGGGGTGTACTCACTTTTGTGAAATACTGCATATAAAAAATGTTTTTTGAAGTCCTCCCCTTCTTCCCCAAAAACTGTGCTTTATGGTTGTAGAGTGGTCCTTTAACATAAAAAGAGATCAGCTATCCTTCACTCTGCACTTTGAACATCTGGGCGACTCAAGTGTTTGAGGGAGGAAAAGAAAGTGCAGGAGAAGGCAGAGACAGAGGAACTATGTTTCACACATAACTTTTATATCTCTTGATTTTTCTACATAAAAGGGGACAATGTACCTGGTGGACTCTCACATACTGCCTTTAGGCAGATAGGCTTTGGTTTGATAACCTTTGGTTTACCATTCACAGCATCACTGTTGGTGGGTAATGCTAACAAGGAGAATGAAAAAGATATAAGAAAGAAGAAAGAAATAGTAAAGCATATAAATAAGAGAAAAGAACCGGATACAACAGATCCCCGCTATGAGTGAATTCAATTAGAAAAACCTGTTTCTTAATATATTACTCTAAGGTGGAAAACCGTTCTGGGAAAAAGGATAATACCACAAAGATTTTGTTTTGTAGCTGTAACAGGTGTAGCAAGTTGCATGTGGATTTTGTTCCACATCATGAGGAAAAAAATCATAGTTTCTATGGTCTGAAGTACATGTTACATTTTATAAAACCAAAATATGAAGGGTTTAGAGTTTGTACCTAAATTGTATATAGACTGGTGCATGTATTGGTTTTAACCTGTCTAATAAAACCGATTAAATGCAGAGGTATATTACTATTGGTAATTTTAATAAAATTTGCTTATAATATACTTGTTGCTTGTGTGTTTTTTTTTAATCATTATAGGTTTTATTAAAAATCTCGTACTTGCTGCTCCTCCAAGAGGTGCAAGTTGTATCCTTTGTCCTGCAGAGCCAACTTCTTTTTTGTGAATGGATGGAATGTATCCTCCATTTGGGTTATATGAAGGACCAGCAAATCCTCCTAAAGGAACCATAGAAATAAAGTTGTGAAGTGAACAACATGTAAAGTAAAAAATAAATAAATAAAAACACCTGCATTGGTGATCAATCTCCTGTTGCAGAAGCACAAAGTACACATATATAAATAAAAAGATTCTATGGAACCAACGCATACAACAAGATAGAAGTTCTCATGGCCCACCAACAGTCCAGGTTTTGTCAGTATCTCCATTGGAATAAAAAAAGAGAAATACATAAATCCTGGACTGCTGGAACCACTGCAACATGAGATTTCCACAGAAAATTGTATATTCTGATACAATTAACCATTTCCCCTTGATAATATTAAAGGACATCCCAGTGTAAATGGACTTCTGTATAAACTTTCAAAAGTCCATACAGGGCTAACTTTAGCATTTATTTGAAAGGAACACAATACGTTATCCTGCCGCACTAAGTGGTCCTCTCCTGATCAATTTTATTCATGGACAGACACCATTTCTAGAATAACAGGAGCTAGCTTCCTTCTATTAGAGAGAAGAACTTTTAAATATACACACACACATACCCACCATTGGCCTCAATTTAATATTTTTGGATGAGCTTTTCATATTTCAAAATATTAAAACAAAAAAATAAATAAATCTATATAAGTATATATATATATATATATATATATATATATATATATATTATACCAATGTATTAAAAAACACATTATTAAACATGTTTTATAATTTTAATAGTGTATCCAAAAATAAAAATCCAAAAAAATAAAAGCTTATTTCAAAAAAATATTAAATCGAGGCTGTACTCCATTATAATTTTTTTTTGTTTTTTTTTTTAAGAAAACCATTTTTAGGTTTATGGTATTGGTTTGTTTGGAAACAAATAATCTTTATAACACTGCAGTGACAACAGTGATATATTGTTTATTTGTAAATAAATGCAAAATTAAAGCAGGCTGGTATAAACTTGGCAAGATAAAGCAATAAAAACCAAATGAAACACTAAATAAGCAATCTGCATGCAATGAAGAATGTAAATATTTTTTTATTTTATTGGAACAGTCCAAGTACAGTAAGGTGTCATCCTGTTTTAGAACAGTTAACCTCTTACCCAGAATCCACCAGGCACTGCTGCCTGTCTCCACTACTAGCTAGGGCTTAGCTCAGGAAAACTAACTGAAGTAGTGGAGCCAGGGAGTGGCACCTGATGGACCCCAGGTCAGAAGTCAAACCCTTCAAAAACAGTTTTAACCCTGTTTTTTGTAAAACCACTTTGTAATGGTTCTAAAAAAAAAAACCCACAAATAAAGCAAAAACAAATGTAGGATGTCGCCCACATACTTTTTGTTTTGCACTGTTATAGCTACATTGTAGTGATTATGGTATAGACTGTCTCTCTAAGTACAATTTAGGAGACAGACAGCATTTTGGCTCTTCCATCATGTTATCCATCATCAAAATTCCCCAAACGTGCTTCAGTTTTGCATTTTAAGGAGGCCACACAAATTAATAGCGTGATTTACAACAAACATTTTAATTGTTACTTTTCATTGTATTACGTGTAAATTCTAATTTATTTGAAATTTTTTAAACAAAGTTTAACATATCAAATGCTTCTTTATTTCCTTACAGAAGAGAGAGAGAAAGGGAGAGAGAGAGAGAATGAATTTCTGAATATGTCCAGAATTCAATCAAGTTTTTAAACTTATTATGCTTGTTAAATTAACAGTTTAATGAATACAGACAGTTTTCTACTTCTATTTTAGAATTTTTTAAAGCTGGTATGCTATTTTCTAATACAATATTTACCTGCATTAGCTCTATTAAACGTCATACCTCCTCCAATGGGAGCAAGTGGTTTAGACGTTAGTGCACTATTCCATGCTGAATTATTTACTTCCTTGTTGGGTAGCCCGAATCCTAAATTCTTTGGGTTCATCCCTTAGCACAGTAAAAAAGAGGTATGTTAGAATTAAAAAGCTCACATTCATACAACCATTTCACAACTTTAGGCCACCAACTATTGCTCTAATATTAGCATAATTCGCTGTTGCCCCAAGACTGGTGATGAATTGTAGCAGCTGAAGGGCTAAAGTTGTTAATGCTGCCATAGAAAGAACAATTTCTGTAGGAAACATACTGAAACCTGCCATGTGAAAGGAATTAAACCTGAATGTGGAATCAACTTGCCACTCATGTTTTGTATATTCTTTTTTTATTTCAACTGCATTTCAGAAGTCGGGTATTAAAAGAAAATCAGATCAGATGTGCTTAGAATGGTTGTGAATAATTTCCATAGTAAACAATTCACTAGTTGACATCTGCGATAAACCCTTGTGCTTAATAAATAGGGAACAAACTTTTCACTATGCAGAAAATAAGGTAATACCTTGTATGTAAAGGAAAAATATCAAAGTCTAAACAAGAACAACACTTATCAAAGAGTAAACAATGCATACCAAGTAAAAATGAATACCGCAAATATCCAAACATCCTTTTAAACATTGTAATTGGAAAATATAGAGAGCAATTGACTATAAAGAAATTAAACTGTGTGTATTTTATGCATTCAATTAAAGGGTTAAAATTTCTAAGCTAAAAACCAACAGAAAAAGTTGTCATATCTCCAAAATTAACCACAAAACTGTTTAATATTTTGGGTTTTGACCTTTGAAGAAGACTTCCTATTCTAGATTAAAAAAATATGGTTATGATAAATTAACACCTCTCTACTGTCATCTTTATAAAAATAAGATACATTATATTTTTGAGAAATGCTTTACATTCATGATGACAATTTAATAATGACATATAACACCATTTTACAGCAAAATGTGCATTGATTCAGGATATCAATGCAGTGATCAGCACTGTTTCTTAAACGGACACTATAGTCACCATGACAACTACAGCTTAATGTAGTGGTTCTGGTGTCTATAGCCTAATCCTGCAGAGAAAAGGCAGTGTTTACATTGCTGTCTAGTAACACGTCTGGTGGCAGTCACACAAACAGCAACTACAGGTGCTTCCTAATCCTGTGCTGCACTCTGCATGGAGGCGCTGAATGTTCTCCATAGAGACGCGTTGATTTAATGTATCTCTATAGAGAAATGCTGATTGACACAATGCAGCATTTTGCCGTGCATCCACAATAGCTTCCCAGTGCTTTCCTATGGAACTGCATTGGACTGGCTGAGATCATCAACATTTATTATCCCAGCCATGGCGAATCACCTTTCCAGAGCGATCTAATGGGGTCCGGTGATCTAAACAGCCACACCAGCACTATAGTGTCAAGAATACATGTTTGTATTCCTGACACTTTAGTTCAGAGATTTATTTCTTTTAAATGAACACTAATCTGGAACAATCTTAATTTGTGAATCTTTTCTCGTCTGAACATGATGTAAACTGAATTTGAGCAAAAATGTTTTTGCACATTTCCTTCACCTGGGAATAACAACTGTATTATCTCCTATGGCGATTTGCTTCTAGCAACTTTGCCAAGTGTGTAAATTCTGCTGTTCAATATTTACCAGGTAGATATCGTGACTGCCTTAGATAATGCTGTTTAGCTGACATGGTTTGGCTTGAATCCGTTCTCAGAATCCTCGTGTTTGTCATTGCTTTGTTTTCTTGTCCATATTCTGCCATGCTGAAGAGAAAGCCACAATATCAATGTACATTCTTTATTATATATATATATATATATATACATACATATATATATATATAGGAAGAAAAATGTGAACAGTTTTATATATTAGTGTTTTAAAAGAATAGGAGTATTTTTTCAGATTTGTAATATGTAACATTTGTTGTTCTTTGTATGATCAATAATGTACTGTAACTCTTGTAAAAACTATAATTATGTAACTTTAATGTCCCATAACTAACTTTATTATAACGCAAGGATTGAATCAAAATGTATCACTTTGTGTGTGATTGTTTGAGTGCCACTGTGCATAACGGCGTTGTACAACAACAACAACAACAACTGTTAAATAGATGGTCAATCAATATTTAAGAAAACAAATAGAATGATATTCAATTACTTGACCTTCCTTGGATTTCCTGGCCATAGAGACATCTTGGATCAAACAGTAGTTAACACCTTTACTCTCCTTTGTACAGTTTAATGCCGGGAACCAGAGCCGGACTGGGGACACGAAGCAGCCCTGGGAAAAAAAATCTATGGCATCCCCATAAATTATTGTGCTATGTAGTGTGTGTTATATAACACACACTACATATCTATATATACACTGGTGTGTGTGTGTGTGTGTGTGTGTGTGTGTGTGTATATATATATATATATATAATTGGAATATTTATTTTTCAATTCAAAATATTAGTCCCTTTAGGGTAATTAAATTATACAGTAAAGCATACTCACATGCAGACACAGACAATCTTACTGATGCACACAAATAGGCTCATTGACAGACAATCTCAATGACACACACAGACAAGATTACTGGTACACACACCAATTAAGTACAGACAAACTCTGATACACAGACAAGCTCACTGCACACACAGGCTCACCACATACAGGAGCAGACACACCCATGCTCCCTACAGACAAACTCACTAACACACACACGATCCCTACAGACAAGCACACTGACATACATACAAGCTCACTCACTAGCTGGCACACACACAAACTCATTAGCAGGTGCACACACACACACAGAAGCTCACTCACTAGCAGATGCGCACGCGCACACACACACACACACACACACACACACACACACACACACACACAGAAGCTCACTCACTCACTAGCAGATGTACACACACACAAAGACATCCACACACACAGAGGCAGGCACCCACACACACACACAGAGGCAGACATCCACACACACAGAGACAGGCAGACAGCCACACACACAGGCAGACAGTCACACACACACCAAAAGCCACACACACACACAGGCAGATAGCCACACACTCACACACACACCCAGGCAGACAGTCATACATACACACTGAGGCAGACAGTCACACACACACACACAGACAGTGTCACACACACTCACAGGCAGGCAGTCATACATACACACAGAGGCAGACAGTCACACACACAGACAGTCACACACACACACACACAGTCCTACATACACACAGAGGCAGACAGTCATACACAGACAGTGTTGGAAAAAAATGCCAGTGGTTTTTAAGACGTTAAACAGATTTCTGTGAACATATGTTAAGGTTAAAAAACTGCTTTAGGAGTTAAAGTAATTTCTAATGATGTCTCACCCAAATAATGGATCATTGTTTTTATTCTCTTTAACTCCTCCCATACTGGGTTTTTTAGAATAAGAGATGCCAAATTCTTTATCAAAGTCATCCCAACTATCCTTTAGAACGGACTGTCCCCAGCGCCGTCTTCCATTTTTAGCATTAGCAGCCGTATGTTGAGATCCAGTGGCCACTGGCTTCTATGGGGAAAACAAATAAAGCATGCCGGTCATTTTTATTGCTTTATTTTGTAAAACAGATATGAGCTAAAATGTGTAGCATGGAATATTCTTTTTATACAACCTATTTATTGGAATTCTTAAAAAATATCCATCAAGCTAAAATATTTGTACAACATATTTCTTCATTACTGAAGTTATATACATATTGATCATAGGAACGAAATCCTCCATTGGGTAGCTATAAATGTATTACAGATTAATAAAAGTGCTGTAAATAGCAAAATAAAAAAGCTTTGCACCATTTTAAAAGGAATATTCATATAATACAGTTATCCATTGAAGAAAAAAAGGTTTAAGTTAATTGTGTAATAGTACTTTAATACTATAATACTAGTACTTAAATAACCAGGTGAGATGCCTAGTGAATATTAGAAATGATACGTTACTTACTGGAGACACTGTTTTACTGATATTGGGCAGGAACACTGGAGACGGTTTAGGCAGCAGAATATTGTCAGCTGTGCTCTGAGGCACCTGAATCTGCTGCAGAGGCCTGTGGTTCACCACTGGTGAGTCAGCTATTGTCTTCTCTAATGCATCAGGTGGAGAAGGAGATTGTTTCTTTGTTGAAGATGACGGCTGCGGTTGTACGGGTTGCACTGCTTTTTTTAGAGACCTTTTCTGCTCAATGTATTGTGGTGCAGGTCCCAATACTTGACCATTGTTAAAATAAGGGTACCTTAAAGCCTACGGATAAATAAATGCAGGTTTGAGTCATTCTTCCATTCAGTGCCTCAAAATTGTTTTATATTCATTGTTATCTTGACAAGCACATCCATATAAGAGCTGGCGTATCGAGATAATGAACAGCAAGATTTGTATTCCAGTACTTTTCTTTCTACTAAAAGGCTACATCAAATGAGCTATAAGAGAGCTTTTATAAGCCCTCAGCTTCTCCCACCACAGTAAAACTATTTGCTAACACAGTCTATGGAGCTGCATTTCTACTTCTTATTTTGTTGATTGAGAAAATGGGACACACAATCCTTTTCCCTAAATAAGTATACGTTTTCTTCCGGTTTTATTTAACTAGTTAGGGTATATTGAACCTTTGTTATTGTTCAACTATATTCTGGACTATAAGTCAGCAGTCATCTACAAAACAATGAAGAGTTGGTCTCAGTCTTACTATAAATGTACTCCATGATGATGCCCATCTTTTCCCAGTGTTCATGGCAGTGGAGCAGATGTCAACTAATTAATTTGTTCACCAATTATATCAACACTGTATATGTATACAAATGAGCCTGGAGATAAAGTGTGCCCATGTTGTAGCCCAGGATGAGGACCTGAAGATGAAAGCATATGTAAAGGCTACATCTGGTGCCATCTTCCCCTTTAACCCCTTAAGGACCAAACTTCTGGAATAAAAGGGAATCATGACATGTCACATGTCATGTGTCCTTAAGGGGTTAAGTACAGTCATATACATAAAATGTTGGGCAAAAGTAACATCCTCAGGTCGTACTTGGAAACCAGAGCATATCTGAACCTTATATGTGTACCTTTCCTGATTTAATACTTTGTTGTTAATATTATTTTTAGCATTATTTTAATGCTTACGAAAGAGAATAGAAAATAAAAACAAAGAACGTGCTGCAGAGTTGTGAAATTTTGTTTTATTTTTAAAAACTTATTGACCAAGGGACTAAAGCAGCAGTACAATCTACATTTCTGTCATTACAATCTACTTGTCCTGACAAACACAATAATTTCAGATTGGGTCACTGGCCTAGAGCCCTGGAATTTAAAAGGCTTTTTCACTGAACTCTGCATTTTCACAAATTAAATCCAAATGGAAAAACTAAGCCAAAAAGGCTGATTGGTCTCATCCTCCCTCCCATAGTAGGTATGTGAGGACTGTGTGTAATATGTGTGTGGTGTGCTCAAGTTGTGTGTAATGTGTGTGATGTTTGGTGGCTGTGTGTAATGTGTTTGCCCGTGATTTGTTTTGTTGGCTGTGTGTAATGTGTGTGTGTCATGTTTTCTTCCTGTGTGTAATGTATATGTCCTGTTTGCTGCATGTGTGTAATGTTTATTGGTTGTGTGTAATGTGCGTGAATGTAATGTCTACTGTCTGTGTGTAATGTTTGCTGGCTGTGTGTAAAGTGTCTGTATGTTTATGCTGTGTTTTGCCTCACTCGTACCCTCCATAGCTTTGGAGGGTGTCTATGGTCCATGATAGTCCATTGAGGTGTGCATCTCTTGAAATTACAGACAACAACAATTGCCCCCTTGCAGTACCAATGCCCACTAAGAGTGCCAGAGTGCAGGCTGGAAATCCTGGAAACTTTGTTCTGACTGTGGTCTGCACTAACACACTACCTGCTTTGACCTGTCTTTCCCAGATTCCCGAGGAGCAGCCTTGATGCTTGCCTGCAACAGAGCTAAAAGCCCAGAAAAACTGCCTGCCTTGCGCCCAAAACTTCACGTCCTGGGTGTCGGACAAAAGGAATTTGCTATTCCCGGCCAATGTCTTCAAAAGATTGCTGCACTACAACAACCAATGAGAGGGCAAGGAGCGACAGCAGAACCAGACAATACTATATTTATAGTAGTAAAATGAAAGCCTAACAACTTTATCAAAATTAATGCCAGGAGGCATTAATCAGCATCTCTCCATTCATAAAAAATTATATGTGCCCTTTTTTATGAATGGGGAACTACTGATTGGCTTATAGCGTCAGCTGACCTCTTTAAGTCAAGCGGCAGGCCATGCTTTCTGGATCATAGTTAGATAAAGCGGATGTGGACAGTTACAGAGAAGAATGGGGTTAAAACACAGACTTTGTGGTTAAACTCTTTGACCCCTTAAACGATTTAACCCCTAAAGGTAAGGAAGCGCCTGAGGCGTTCTGGTCCCATAACAACTTCATTTTTATTAAGTTGTTATGGTATGGTTCATGTTACAAAACACACAACTCTTTTATTGATGACTCCTATATTTACTGTGTACATAAAAAAATTAAAAAATTTACACTTCAATGCTTTCCTACGGGAAGAAAATAAGATTTAAGAAGAAAGAAGACATCTAATGGTAAGTAGATTTGTTTACAGGCATTAGCCATATTGCACCTCACTATTATTAAGTAGGGTACTTCTATTTAAAAGGGGGTGGCTAGGCGATTGGGGACCCCTATCCACCCAGTGACTACTTTACTTTAGGACAATGACATGTCCATCCCTTCTTGTATGTTTAATTAGAGCTCCCACCTGCCACCCATGAGTGTGGGGTGCAATTAAAAATAGAGCAGTCATTTCTGGCCATCTGGGGGGCATGGGAGTGACACTATGTTTAATCTGGATTATTGTTCATTTAGAGCATTATTGTGGGGGTACAGGGAGAATCTATGTCACCGTCCCCCCATTCAATTTCTTTCATAGGTGCACAGAACTGGGGTGGATAGTGATTTATCCACCTACTAAGCTTTAATTTGAAGCCCTCATCCAATGCCAAGAAGTAGGGGTACGTGAGAGACTTTTACCAGGTCACTCTGAAAGTTACTAGTGATTGGGAGATTTGTTTCTTGAGCAGCCAACCTGTTTATCCAGTTTAGCAGCTAGAATTTCAACTAATATAAAATCCAGTCGAAATGTGATAAAAATATCAGTAGAATGCAGTTGATAATTACAGACTAGATTTTGCCAGTAATGTAGAATAGTGGCCTTTGTTGTTGGTGCTATAAAATGGATATTGGCGGAGCTAGACTGCCAAAGCAAACCGTTGCAAGTTTTTGGAGCTCCAGCAAATCGCAGCAAAAAACCTGCATATTGACGCACCATTTCAGCAAACTAAGCCCGGAGAGACCCCCTGGAAAATACCATCATAATGGGGCGCAAATCCAAAAAACAGAAACCCGACAAGCCCACCACAGGTCTGACAATCGGGGATCTGTGACGGCCATCTCATAATGCAGGACTTCTCCGATGATCTATCGTACGAGACAGAGAACTTACCTGCACTGGCGAAATCGCCACCGCAACTGAGGGACAGAGACTCCTCGCTAGGCATAATATCCATCCTGCGAGAGTTCCTGGCAGATCTCCAACATAACATCCGCGCTGATGTCGCCATGCTCCGAGGGAAACTGTAGGGACTGACAGGCCGACTGGGTGGAAGGCACCTCTACCACACACACTGAGCAAATTAAGTCGCTCCAACAAACAGTGCAGGAGCTGCAGCGACAAAAACTAATGCAAAAATTGCGCTTTGCAGCCCAGGAAGACGCCAGATGCAGGAACAATTTGAAGGTGCGGGGAATTTACCCAGGACACACTTAAAAACGAGAGAAATCTCAATGTATCTTTCCTAATAAAAATATTTTATAAAAAAAAAAACAAAAAAAAAAACATCTCCGAAAGACATACTGGAGGCATAGTTACCGCATCTTATGAGGCGCCTACTCGTGGCCTTGCTGTCACTGTGGCAGGCCAAGACGGTGACTTTAGACGGCTCTTTTTCCATGTCCCCAAGCCTAGCAGTGCACCGACTACTACCCCAAGAGACTTGGTGGTCCGTTTCAGGAACAGGACCGATAAAATGGCTGTCCTGGCTGCACTCACAGGGAATGCACCTTACCCGTTCGAGAACATGACACTCTCCTTCTACGCAGATATATCTGGCTGCACCTTGGCATGGTGGAGGTTGCTTAAGCCGCTTACTTCGCTCCTGCAGAAGCACAATATAGGTTACAGTTGGCGCCTGTCCGATCACCACGCATCCGATCCAGGATATCCAGGAGACAGCTAATCTATTAAAGACTCTGAGATTGCCGCAGGACTCTCTCCGCCATGAGGGGCTGACAATGGCAATACAGGCTCTGCATACGTGGCACCCTTTGTTCCACAACGGACCCAGTCACCACCAGGGACCCCCGGTGCCCAATCTTGTTTAATGTTTAAGTTAATATTCAGCATTAGTTACATTATTTGCTTATCTCACTGCTTGCTAAATACGCAGAGCGGTCTAACCGCATACACACCTCAGACCGAATGGATCACATACTGTACATCCCCCGCACACAACGTCAGGGACCGGCTGTAGATGGTCTAGCGAGCTTACATAATCCGCAATTCTATCTACAGCCTACAAATCGTTTGTTCATTATATTGTTGCCCATCGACTTCCCACATAGGGATAGAAAAGATCTCACCCGCGCACACCATAATCTCCATAGTGGGTTAACTCCATAGTAAGGTATCCTTTGGCTACTATATGTCTCATAATACACGTGTCGATCCATGACCACGCTTCTTATCATATTATAGATCTGTTACCATTCACACTCCCACCTAAGTTAGGTCTACTTGTGGCTCACATTTATGCTAGAAGGGGAGGGTACGCCCATTCTAAAGCTTGTTTATGCTGTAATGGTATTTTTCGTATTTATTTACATTTTAATCGATGCCTGCCACTGTAACCGACCTGACCCACTCTTTTAGATGTGGACCCCCAGCGGGCATCGCCTCACAAGCTTCTGCCAACGCTGTCACAAATCTAGCGCAGCCCAACCATGCCGCACTAATCAGTGACTTTCCTGCAATCCCGAACCAGGGCATTGTCTGACGTTGATCAACTATCCTGAGCCCATAATTGCCCTCTAAGGTTAATTTTACCTTGTCTCTATCACCTCCACCTAGCATTTCTATGCACCCATACACCCATGCTGATGTTGATTTAGATTTTCTTTTGATTTACTGTTAGTTTTACTTTCTGCAGTGTTGTATGGTGGTAGAGAACAAAGCTCCCGAGGTCTTTTTACTTGTGCATGTTAGCCTGTTCAGTGGTAAATCATATATGCCGGTTAATCTCATCTAAGCCAAGATGCATAGTTATTCTTTTGCATACAGTGATACAAATGTCACTATGTTCACGGTTCATGTTTGTTTGTCTTGCCTGTACCTTATACTTAGATGGGGTTGCCTAGCATGATTCTTGTCCTAATCTACCTCTAGGTTGGCACCAGTGGATTATTTACTTGATAATACTAGCATGTTCGTAATCTTGGGCAGCCTGTCCTTACTCATTTTAATATCAATCAACAAGTGCTTCAGTCATGCATAAGCTCTAAACATGTGTATCCTGCCTGCTTATATTTTATATTGTTATCTTACTTTAAATTAGAGACTGTCTTACATTGGAGACAAAAAAAAAAGAAAAAGTGCAATTTCCTTGATGTTTTATATTGTATGCTTGCAACCTTTCATATCTTATATGCTCTCATGGAAATATCAATTTCTTTTTGTATGTTTATCATTGCACGTTCAAAATAAAGAATGTAAAAAAATAAAAATAAATGGATGTTGCATCATGAATTAACTGTAAAGAATCAGTGGCCAGTACCTGACTTGCTGTGGGTCGTTTCTTTGGGTCCCAATGCAACATGTCCTTCATTAGTGTTATAGCTTCTTCACTAGCATTAGGGATAAGAGTTTTGAGATTAACAGGAACACACTGTGGGAAGCGGAAATTCATGGATGCTGCAAGTTGATATCCTTCTGGCCAGTCATTCTGCCAAGGAAAATGTACCATAGGTTGAGAACGATAAGCTAATCAGTACTTTACTAATTAATTACTCTGAAACATGCATATATACACACGCAAATTCATGGCTTATTAGCAACATGAAAAGGATTGCCACTACTGAAAAGACTTTTCAATGTTATTAGCATTTATAAATACAAACATATTTAACAGCCTTTTATAATTATACAGTGGGGATATACAATAATAACAGGGTTATTCACTAGCATGTGAGTTGCTGAAAGTAGATTATTATTTCAAATGTTTAATATATGTGTATTAATGAATGTATGTTGCTATATGAAGTTACTGGGTAACTAGAGGATTCCACCAAAGACTCTCTTTTAGTCTGCTGTGACATCTCTGCATGCCAAGAACTATGGTCATCAGGCTCCTATGCCTCCAAATAAAGATTATTTGAAAAATGTATTTTAAATAAGTATTTTCATTGGGAAATCAAAGTGAATTCAAAGTGTATTTCACACTTGAGGTGAAGTAGCCACCTGGATTATTTCCCCAAGTCAACTATGTTTTCAGTTAATGTATTAGGGCCTAAAAAAATTAAATCAAATTTGAATTACTGACAAGTCACCCTTTCTTGATTACCTGCAATTGACAGCGATGGTGGCTAGTGACTTTTCAAGTTGGTGGGGCACCAGACTTGACGCAGTCAAATACACATACACTTGAATCTGTACCTAAATATTGTTAATCAAGAATAGGAATAAGTCTATATGGCTCTTATACCTCCCAATATGAGGACAATGCCACATATAGGGAATAATCCATATAGACATTTTCCACTTGATTAAAATAAATTGGTTATTTAGAGGCGAAATTCAAATTACAAGTGTAATACAGAATTTAGCCACAAGATGCCGCCAAAGTATTACTTAAAAAAAATAAAATAAAAAAATAACAGGAAAACTAGAAAAACTACAATTTCTGGGGAAATTGTGTGAAGTGTTCTTGCCTCCACCAGTAGTCTACAACTGGAGTGGGCGTGGTAACTGTTATTATTTATTTATATAGCACATTTAATTGCAACGTTGTTGCACAGTTACATTAAACCATACATTTATAAAAACATTAGCAGTTGTACAAAAGGCCCTGTCTATGACATCACTTCCTGCTCCAGCCTGGCACAGGTCAGAATATTGTGGCGGTTGCCATCTTCAAACGGTCGTATTTTCAAAACTATAAATACTACAGCAAAGAGCTTTATATTGTGAGAATCACAAGACCCAGACCTACATTTCGATGCATAGTATGTCTCTGAAGTATTAAAAATGAAGGCACAGTCACAGTTTAGAAATTGCCCTTCAAGTTTGAGCTGGCTAGAGTGGAGTTTCAATGAATGTTAATGGGCGGTGTGAGTTGCAAACAAATGATTATATTGTGAAAACTATCAGGACTATGGCTTAGCCGTTGACATGTTTAGTGGCAGCAGGGATAGCTGAACGTTTTGATATAAGATTTGTGTAGGTGGGCTTGAAAATGAGGGAGTGATGGCAGTTTAGAAATCATGTCCTGATTTTTCAGCTTTTGCCAGCTCCCACTCTAGTTTTGAACATTTTGCCATTCATTCCTATGGGACCAATTTCGCTACAAGAACGACGATATTCCGTGAACCATTCGGCGAAACTTTCCACAAAGTAATAACAATCCGATCGTGAACAATCCGCATGTTTCGGTATATTACTGTCTATGTAGTGTAAAAACTGTGGGAGGAGTTAGGGTGGTAAATTTGGCTATAATAAGAATAATATATATGTGAGATAACATTAAGTGGTATTGCTATGCAAGAACACTTAATAAAAAAGGCATCTAATAGAAAAAAAAAGGTATATAAGAGCAGATGTCTCTGCATTCAGATTTTTAGTTACAAAATATTATGAGGAGTTTCCTTCCCCACAGGAGAAAATTTTATAACTAAAATAAAATAAGAATAACTTAAAATAAATAAACAGCCAGGCTGCATTAGTGACTGGCACCCACTGTTGCAGTGGATGCCTGTCACTATGTGGCTTTTTTTAGATGAGTCATGGCAGCAGGGTTTGAGTAGGGATTTTAATTAACACTAAAGTAAGGCCACACCACTTGTGTGCATATCTTACTGTAGTGTTCAGGAGGGAGTCGGGGAGATAAGTGGCAGGCACCTCTGCTGGAGCAGTACCGCCGGTCACACTACATGCCAGCTCTATGTAATCTTATTAATGAACAGAGCCAAGGAAACTACGTATGGCAGTAGGCACCCGGTGGTAACGAAGTGCCTGCTGCCACTGTTACTGAGCACAATACAGTAGAGTAGGGAAGGATGGAGCTGGGGAAAGAGATATCTCAGCAGCAGTGTGTATGAAGAAAGTGCCCTCTTTTTTCATTTACAAAAATAATAGAAATTGGCACTTTTTCAAATTAAACTTGTTACATCCCTGGCTGTCAGACAACCAGTCCTATTACTTCCTGGTTGTCTAGCTCAGTGGAGCTAAACGCAAGAGGCAGCAATTACTCAGAGCACCTGCCTTGCAAAGACTTCTCATTAAGCTTTATTGGGACATCTGTGATTGGAAAGCCACAGAAATTCTGGGATGCTGAGAAGGGGGGCCAGGTGGGGGGAGGCTAGCAAAGGCTACAGATAAGAGACCTACAGTTTATATATATTTTCAATGATTTTTTACATTCATTGTGAAGCTGCATTCTTAGTGAGCTGTCCAGGAGGTGGGAGGGTCTGGGAGGGAGGGTCTGCTGCTGATTGGCTGGAATGTGTCTGCTGACTGTGAGGTACAGGGTCAAAGTTTACTCAATGATGACATAGGGGGCGGACCGAACAGCGCATATGTTCGCCATCCGTGGCGAACCGTTCGGGACATCACTAATCTTAAGTATTTATTTATTTTTTGTATTTGGGCAGTGGAGTATCCCTTTAAGCCACAGTTTTATAAAGTCTGTGATGACAATTAAAAATTTGCACATGCAAAATAATGGATTGCCAGTCAGAAAAAAAAAGTTGAGTATTCTGCTATCTTCCCATTGCTCAAATAGTCAAGTATTTATTTAAATGATAAGGCTTGAATAGTGCACCGTTCAATGCTGCACATTGTATCAGTGGTTCAATATTTTATGAAAAATATTAATACGAGTGAAAATAATGTATATTGCTGATCTTAAACAGAATACTACATAGACAATTAGTATTAAACTGAAATAGTCTTCCCATGATACTCACTTTTTTTGGTGTCCCTATAACTTGGCAAATTTTGAAAATTTCATCAATCTCACTTGTTCCTGGGAAGAGAGGTCGTAGCGTATATAGTTCAGCCATTATACTGCCAACTGCCCACATATCTATTGGCGAACTATATGCAGCGGATCTCAGCAATACCTCAGGTGCCCTATACCTAAAAAAATAATGTAATGAAAATAAGATGTATTAGATAACTGATCAAGATAAAGTTATGAGGGAATTCTCATGACACCAAATGAGGGAAAAAAGTGTACGGGCATGTTTAAAAACATTGAAATTTTTAGAGAACCAGTCAGGGCAGGATTTTCCATAAGGCAGATTAGGCACTTGCCTACAGGTGCATGTCCAGTAGGGGGCACCTATTTTCGGCAATTATAATGAGTCTTTTTGGAGCTCAAAGTTGTATATATAGATTGGGATAACAAGCCAATTTAAAAATAGTTTTTTTTCCCATCTCACTCTCTTAATTCCTTTGCAGACACCGAATGCCATAGCATGATGTAGCAGTAGAGAACTTCCTCAGGAGGTCCCTCTGCTATCCCTCATAGCAACCACAGTGCATGTGCTGCAGTTGCCATGGTAACTCCCTAGCCAGCGCTGCTAGCTCTGGCTAGGGAGTATAGGAACAGAGTAGCATGAGGTCACTCTGTTCAGAGGCCGGCACATTGGTGATTGACGTCATAGAGGAGGATTGCCTTGCTTGGTAAATGTCCCCAAGCAAGGCAAATCGGCAAAGAAGAGAGGAGGAGCACAGGCAGAAGTGTAACACCCCACTCTTTAATGAGATTGCGGAGGAGGAATGGAGGGCCGGTAAGCCATGACCTTAAGTGGGCTGGTAGAGAGATAATTACCAGTAGCCATGGTTAGAGTCCTCTGAAGCCCAGCCAGCTTTCTATGCTTGATAACAGCACTGTGTAATATGTTGGTGCTTTATAAATACCAGTAATAAATAAAATAAATAACAGAGCTGCATGAACAATTTTAAATGGTGTACAACTAGGTTCTGTCCCAGATATTCCGGTGTCTGTGTGTGAGGCTGGACAGGAAGTGGAAGGAATCATTTCCCATCTGTCCACTAACAGCCTCTTACACAAGAAAAAAGTTGGAGCTCCGAGTGATGCACACTGTATAACAGCTACCGCAGCTCTGCTATCAATCATAGGAAGTTCACTAGACTACAGAAGAGATAGGACAGGGAGTACTTTGTAAATAACAATTCAAACCCCACATGCCCTAGAAACCCTTTCCACTAACCTTAAATGTAACCCAGAAAATCTAAACACACCCTTTCCTTATTTCCAAATGTAAGCACTCAAATCTTTAGTAGCTTGTATGCCTTAAATGTCCAATATCATGTGCCCTCAAATTATAAAACAGTTAACACATTCTATTGGCTTCTTATTTTAAACCACTCAGCACATTTTATTGGCTTCTTATTGTTGGGGGAGGAGGGGGGAGGGTAGCTGTGCCTATAGTCTCCTGACATGTAAATCTGCCCATGTATGCAGACTCAGGCAAACTCAAGCTGACTGGCAGCCAAGTAAGAAATACTATTTTTGATGTGCTTTCTTATTTTCAAATGTTATATAACACCATCCTCCTTAATACTTACTATAAGGGAAGGCTTGGGAATCATGGTAGTTGAATGGATAGTGGTGGTAAGGAGGCACACACTTTTGAATTAGGGAAGAGCATCCTCTAATACATTTTAGGGTGGAGAGAGTATTAGAAGTATGCTTTTAGCATTGATTGGGCATCCCAGGCCCATAGCTCTCTCACTTAATTCTACTTCCTTCCACCCCGCATCAAGACCTTATCCCATTAACCATTTCCTTCACCCTCTGCACATTGAATAGATGTTTCAAGCCAACATCTTAACTGTGCACAGTGTAGAAGTGGAAGAGGTAACTACAGAACTTACCACCTGGTAGATACATAATCGGTGTAGGGCGGCTGAGATCTCAATTCTCGGACTAATCCAAAATCTGCTATTTTGACAAGATCAGGACCCATACATAAAAGATTTTCAGGTTTCATATCTCTGTGGAAGTACCCTAATTGATTGTTGGCAACAAAAAAAAAATCGAATTAGTAAATAACATATTAGGGTTATCCATTTATAACAAACTAAAGAACTACTATTGACTCTATATTAGTATTTTTTTTTTTTATTGTATTAGGCAACATGCAATTGTACTACAAAATCACACAGACATTTAAAAAAATGTCTTAAAGAGTGTGCAGCAGAGGTGTTCAGAAAAAAGTTACATTCTCTGCACTTTTGGGTTATCAGTGTACACAAGCCTGTGTGTGAATTAAAATAAATAAAGGATGCAAATCTGTTTCACAACAGCCTTGCATTTCATGCAAATACTATTACTTTACTGAAATATGTTGGGTTGTTTTTTTTACGAAAGCTAATAGCAAAGTTTAAAATATAACCTATGGGTCCAGTAACTCATTGCTACATTCTTTGAATTAGGCTATACTATATCAATCAGCCCACACAATAATTTTAATGGTCCTTTACCAGATATTCTACCCAGTACCTCCAAATCAAATGGTAAACAAATAGTGGTACAAATGGGCTCAAAAGTAATCTTTACATAGCAAAACTACCCTACTTGGACACCAATGATGATAACAGTACCCACAAAAATACAATTGCTGGGACAGAAACACAAAACATAACACAAGGTAATCTAATCATCTAAACGCTTACCATGCTTGTGCACAAAGGCTAACCCAGAAATCACCTGGAACATAATGTTCCTTATTTCATTCTCAGTGAACATCTTATTTTCTCTGGCACGAGGAAGAGATAGAAAAGCAGCAGCAAAATGAAAAATAAATAAATAAAAATGGAAGAGACAGAATGTGAAAGAATAAAACAGAATAAAATCAAGAGCATTTGATACCAGTTAGGAGAGATCCCTCAGACATCCGGTGATGCAACCGATTCAGAGTGAGCCAATAACGATATAAAGTTCTAACAGAAGCATAGCTGCTGGCCAACCAACCAGTAGTAAAAATAAAAATGGGGTATGTTGCCCATCCTTAACTCCTCTGATAATTATGTTTGGTAGTCTTTTTAAGAAAAGGTGGCAATTCGAGAATCAAAAGTAACATAAAATGTTAATTGCCACTTTTCTTATTTCAGGAATAATGCTTACACATATCGCTTTCATCAAATGTCCCTGTGGCTTGTGTCACATGCTGTTGTAGTTAACAACACCTTGTATATTTCGACATTCGGTAGCGAGTACAGTGAAAAAGTTATGAGCCTACCAAATAACCTACCGTGTTTATGGATAAAAGCTAGCCCTTGTAATATTTGATACATAATGTTTCTGATGACTGACTCAGGAAACAATTTACTTCTGCAAAGAGACAAATTTCACAATTTCAAGCAATGTATTAAATGTGATTACAGATCGCAGTGTAACTATTTTATGCCAATCAGAATTATATTCAAAGTTCTCTGTCAGACTGCTTTGCATGGCCAGATACAAATAGGGTGGTTATTCGTATAATTAAAATTTCCAAGCAGGTCTAATTTTTTTACACATATTTAACAAGTTGAGATCTCAAACAGCTCTGAAACTTAAAGGACCACTATAGTGCCAGGAAAACATACTCGTTTTCCTGGCTCTATAAGGTCTCTAGGTCCCCCCCACCCTCAGGGCCCCCCTCCCGCCGGGCTCTAGGGAGTGGAAGGGGTTAAATTTACCTCTTTTTCCAGCGCCGGGCGGGGGACTCTCCTCCTCCTTCTCGTCATCAGCTGAATGCGCATGCGTGGCATGAGCCGCGCGCGCATTCAGCCAGTCCATAGGAAAGCATTCTCAATGCTTTCCTATGGACGCTGGCGTCTTCTCACTGTGAAAATCACAGTGAGAAGCGCGGAAGCGCCTCTAGCGGCTGTCGATGAGACAGCCACTAAAGGCTGTATTAACCCTATTATAAACATAGCAGTTGCTCTGAAACTGCTATGTTTATAGAAGAAAGGGTTAATCTTAGCTGGACCTAGCACCCAGACCACTTCATTAAGCTGAAGTGGTCTGGGTGCCTATAGTGGTCCTTTAATCAGAGAACCTAGATATATGTAGGTCTGAAATCACGGAATATCAAAGTGATAATTCTGATAAATGTGTTTGTGAATAGTCATACCTGGGCTTTTTGCCCTTGCAAGCTATGAACAGCATCTATTGGGAGATTAAATAGTTTATTAAATGTGACCAAATAGGTCAAACATGTCTATAACAACCATATGAAATTGTATTAGTATTTTTGTCTCATATTAATAGTATAACCCCCATTATAGGAAAACTCCCACCCCAGCCAGCAAGCCCAAATAGCAGATGACTGCAAACTATTTTGAGTTTTCACTCACTCTTCTTTGGAATGTCTTTGCGTTTACAAATTGCATATAAAACATTTTCTAAATATAAATGTTTATATGTGTGTTACAAACCTTAATATATAGGAAAAACCCATGTATAAATAGTCTATAGAAAGTAGATTTTCTAAATAGATTCATCTTTTTATCTTCTTGTAAGTATGGAAAATTAGTTTATTTTCCAAGTACATTGTAATTAGACTGCTGGTTATAATTTATGTTACAGGACAAGTATGCTTTTTTTGGGATTGTGTTTCCACATGTTGTGGTGCATAGAGGACTTTCATGGATTGCTCTAATAAAAATAGTGGGATGTGAAAACTTAGTTAGGTCTCCCAGACATCCCTCTACTTAAAGAAGAACAGTATATAATAATCTAGATGCATGGGATATCTTTGTTTCAGCACAGCATTGCAGAATTCACATTTTATTAACAATTACTATTTAACGAGCAATTACTATTGAAGTTGATCAAGTTTTAAGACATACCGGTCTTTCATTAATTGGTAAAGGTTTTCTTTCATATATTCAAACACAAAATAAAGCTGGTCATTTTCTCTGATCACTTCCTTTAGTTTGATGACATTAGCGTGATTCAGTTTCTTTAGCGACTGAAAAAAAAATAAAAAAAATAATAGTTAAAAAAAATATATATGTTCAAGTACTGCAGATAATTGGCTGCAATGGTTCATAAGGCTGGACAGGGCACAATGATATGCATGTATTATAAGAAAAGAGGTTTTTAACGGTAAGCAATGAAGAAGTAGTAAGATCTTGGCTGAATGGCTATCAGCTAGTGCTCAGTCCCTGTGGCTCATAGTTGTTTCAACTAATGTGGAGGCATTAGCTCATGCAAAAGAGAAGAGCCGAGATGCCCCTGTCCCAAGCTATTATTAGAATAAAAGACGACATTGAGAGGAAATGTGATGGCAGATTCTGTATGCCGCTTTTAAGAATCTCATACCTCACTCTCATGATTTAGAAACACTGATTCCGAAATGTAAACTTTAACCCTTGCTAAATGTTATTGAGTTATCTAAGGTGTATTGTAGGGTTTATGGTTCAGTCCCTCATTTTAATGTGGTTTGTCAACACATACAGGACCAGCACCCAAAGCCCACGTATTGTTTGCTTGGGACATGATAACATGATCAATGTTTGTAAGAGGCTAAGTAAGAATCAGCAGTGATCCATTCACCATGACATAGGTTGCCTAGATTCATTTAACTGTTATATTAATTATATTAATTGCATTCAGTAAAAAAATAAAATAAAAGAGAAAATATAATGTTACCTTTACTTCTCTCAAATTCATACATTCTTCCCATGAATAAAACTTCCTTTTCATCCTGCAAAAAAAATTTAAAATCACACCAAATGTATAAAAAGATGAACAGCTAAATCTCTGCTAAAGGTTACTGATATTAGTATTAGACATGCCAAAACATTATGAAGCAAGAATTGAATCACAAATTCTTCCACCTCAAGCAAAGTACATTAGAACATGCAATTATTTTAATTTGAAGATCTACAAGAGCCACAGTGAGATAAGCTCTTGTTGCTGTATTAAAGGTAACTACCTATTTCTTTTATAAGTACTTGGGGGAAAGAGGGCCATTAAACTCAACAAGACTCCAATGTTATAAACACATGTACTTATTTATAATGTTGGGGTGTTTCTATAACTTGTGAATGGATAGCTTCAATATAAGCACAATAAAACTAACCTTATACCCCCACCATTCTGACTCCAATCCTGTATGCCTGTATGCTTCACATTAACATGGCAGGTGTTTTGAGGGTAGGTGGGGGGGAAGTTTTTTTTGCTTTTAATTTTGCTTCTATTACACAACATACAGGGCTATTCAGCAAAGTGAGAATTTAAAGGATCACTATAGAGTCAGGAAAACAAAGTGGTTTTCCTGACACTATAATGCCCTGAGGGTGGCCCCACCCTCAGGGTCCCCCTCCCGTGGTACTGAAGGGGTTAAAACCCCTTCAGCAGCTTACCTTATTCCAGCACCGGCTCCCTCGGCGCTGGTGATCTCTCCCCCCCCGCCAACGTCAGCTCCCTCTGCCGATGTCAGCGGAGCCGAATGCGCTGCACACGCATTCAAGCTGTCAATAGGAAAGCATTTCTCAATATATGCCTCCAGCGTCACAGATGCGCCTCTAGTGGCTGTCCGGAAGACAGCTGTGATGACAATCTGTCATCAAACTAATATGGTGACCAGGGATCACGTGACCAAGCTCATGTACAGTGGGATAAGCTTTACCTTTTGATATGGTAATTGAGTAATTCAATACCTTTACAAGTCAGGAAAGAGGTAACCACTTCCCCCTATCTCCATTCCTCTCTGTTCCTTCTTGGCTGTGCTACTGAGCAGTCCCTTAAGCAGACATGGCCTAATTTCTATCATGGTGAACTGTGAGTGGGATTTTATAAGATGTAGTTGTTATTGTTAGTTAGCTTGTTGTTGCTGTTGTTGGTGGTATAGTTAGTTAGATTGTGTGTCATTATTTGTATGTTGTTGTTGTTGTTTTGTCTCTGAATAAATATTTGTTAACGTAGACGGACCAGAGTTTATATGTGTATGCGTACATAATAATTTATAGAGTTTGGTAATACACCACAACAGCCACTAGAGGCTGGCTTAACCTCAAATGTAAACATAGCAGTTTCTCTGAAACTGCTATGTTTGCATCTGCAGGGTTAAAACCTGAGGGACATTGCACCCAGACCACTTCATTGAGCTGAAGTGGTCTGGATGACTATAGTGTCCCTTTAAATTTTAACGCCAGAGTAGCCAAAATGAAAGCATAGTTGAATTCATCTTGAATCCTCATTTTTTGAGTTCTGCCATTGGTTCCTCAATAGCTTTAAAACACACAGAAACAATGCAAGCATTTAAGATTTTCTTTTTCTATATAGAAAATAAATATCAGTGCCGTCTCTTTACATATCAACAGTTTATAACTGAACTAAAGGGAAATGTAAATGGGGTGTTTTTTTTATATACCATTCTTTATATTCTGGCATATTTTTTTTTTTTTACAATAATACAGTAATATATAAACAAAATGAAGGGAATAGAAACAGAAAGTGCCTATAGGCAAAGGATGCTAATCATACAATATACACATGCTAATCATACAATATACAATCACTTATCCTATACAGAACAAAAGGGCTAAATCAATGCTACATTTGGAGTAAAAAGGGTAGGTGCTCTTTGTATTGAAACAACATACATATTAGAAACATACGAACTGCTTATATTTTAAGAAAGGCTTGCAATAATAAATTGAAAGATTGTTGAATTCTTATAGCAAAAACATAGGCTCTAATTAAAATTTCTTGTTTTAACTCACATGAAACACACTAAAACACATGCATGACTCTCCTGACCCTTAACTACTTTTCTTACTTGGAGGAATACTCAACACAATGTTCATAAAATGTCAAAATATGAATCTAGTAACATAACTATATCAGTATGGAGTATTATTACTGCAAATCACATTAAAATAATAATGCTTACCTTTTGATAGCTACTAGCTCCCCTGATTCATTGCTTTTCCCCATCAACACACTGCCATAGGTACCATCCCCGAGCTGTTTCATAGTGGTATAACGGTTCATTTTTGTTTCAGTGTTAATGGACTTGCAGTACCTTTTTGTGGGCAATTCACAGTATTAATGAATCAGTGTTAAGTAAACAAAACAGACTGTCTTTTCTTGAAGACAACAAAGTCAAGGTCTAAGGACAAAGCATGTGATTATTTTCCATTTGAATTACTGAAGAAATGACATGGCAGGATGAGAATGAAAACAAGCCAGTGTTGGAGCCATTCCACTGTAACCTTAGGAAAAAAGGAGAAGATGATGCAAACATTGGTTGCATAAATATACTGAGCAGAAAAATTAAATGAAGGAGACAACCATAACTTCCAATGAAACTATAATCACAAAACCAAACTATAATATGAGCTCAAAATCAAGTCTAGTTTGGCGAAGATATTTATATACACACACACACACACTGTGTGGGCATATCTCTGTAATTCTAGAGCAAGCAAAAAAATATGTAAAAAAACAATGAGTATTGGAGTTTGTGGAAATCAATGTTAATGGAGAGACGTCAATTTTCTCTATTTGGGGGATCATTTAAATGTTTTACCCAACGATTATTTATAAAACTCGGTTCATATGTAAAAGACAATGAGTATTAACTAACTTACCTTGCTTCACCACCAGCCTTCATTTGTGATGGCTGATGGGAAAAGGCATCTTTTTGCACTATAGATTCTAGAGATAATTGTGGAGGATTCTGCAGTCTTGTGTGATCATTCATAGTCCCCATTTTATACTTTAATGCACTGGCGTACATACCACGGTCGCAGGGGTGACAGCTGCGACCGGGCCCGGCTCTCCAGGGTATGTACGCCAGTTTGCCAGCCTCTTCTCCTGGGGGGCCTACGTGGCATTACGTATTTCCGGCTCCTGCATTAGTAAGCGGCGCGCGAGGGAGCTGGGCAGAGAGCGCCAGAGGAGAATGCTCCCTCGCGCACCAGCAGTGACCGGCCACCCAGCAGCACCAGTGGACCCCAGGGAATCCGCTCAGCACTCCCAAGAGGCTTCGCGTCATGACCACATTACCACCTCGGGTGTGCATTATTTTTCTAATAATTCAACGGCCTGTCGTCAATTATTCCTTACATATACTTTTGATACTGGTTTTACATATACAGAGAGCACTATTTTTGTTTCTATTGCCCTGGGTCCTTTTGATGTTTTACCGTTGGAAAATCTGAGAACTACACCTAACCATATATCTTAGAAGTGGGGATAATACCACTTTACACTGTCATTAATAGAGCTGGTCATAGCTCTGGTAAATGTGAGTAGAATCAATATTACCATTTACTCAGCTATATTTTATATACATACTGTACCATTGGGATTTTTTCTGCTCTCTACTATGCACATATGGATACCAAGCCATCTCTGACCCGAATATTCCCTATAAGAAAAGTACCTCCATCAAGACTTGGCTGTTTCTCTTGCAAGTGGTATTTTCTTCCATTTTGAACTTTATTGTGGACATCTTTATATTTTACAGTACCTTGTAGTTTATTTATATATTTATATATATATATATATATATATATATATATATATATATATATATATATATATATATATATATATAAATAATAATACACTAACTACTACTGACACTACCTTCCTCTTTCTTCCTTTTTTTTCTTCTAAAAAACATTATAGTCCAAAGGTTATCCCCGCATAAAATATGGATTAGGTATGTTGCATGAGGCTTTATGAGATGCAGCTGTAATAGGAGAGAAAGGGAGCAGGAAATGCCACTGTAATAAAAGTGAAGGGGGCATGAGATATGGCTGAATTTTAATGGGATGGAGGCTTGGGGGGGTGGAGTGTGTCTGACTGGGGAGTTTACAGAGGAAGGAACAGGTCATAAAACTAAGTAAGGCAGAAAAAATATATACAATAACAGTACAAAGTATCCACTGCTTCACAATTTGCTGTTCTCTTTAAAAAAATAATAATCTTTATTCGCATGCTTAATTACATTCTTCAATACAAGAAACAGACTGGCAAAAAAAGGGCTCATGTTTGCTCCATGAAAGGTCCACAAAGGAGAAAATCGTGTTTCATTTGAACTTAGTTTTTGAAGTTCACGCTGATATTTTCCCTTGAGTGACTTTCACATAGTCTTTTCTTGCCAGAGTCTGTTTATTCATTGGTAGTTTAAAAACTCAGCACAGTTTCAATTTTGTTTTGTTTTAGGGTCTTGACCAGTATAGAGTACAGACACAGGCTGCATAGATGTCTGTATTTTTGTCCTAAGCCCTTATTGAGAGAGAAAAGGTTTCATATTTCTTATGGGAAGATTATAGTATCAGGAATACAAAAGTATTCCTGATACTATAGTGTTTAACTATTTAGACTACCAACCCAGGTCCAAATGCATGAAAAAGGTGTTTTTACTCACCTTTCTCCCACACTGTACCGGTCTTGCCATGGCTGGCCATGCCTCCATGGCTGATATCAATTTTGATGATGTCGGCCAACCCAATAGGGCAACAGCATCTGGATTGCGCATGCGTAGCAAAAACGCCAGACTGCACCAATCAGTATCTCCTCATAGCGATGCATATCTATAGGGAACCTTCATCACCTTCATACAGTGAGTGACAGCCACTTGAGGCAGTATTAATCCTGCAATATAAACACTGCAGTTTCTCTGAAAATGTAATGTTTTACATTGCAGGGCTAAGGGGACAGGGTCACTGCGCCCCTCCCACTTCAATGAGATGAAGTGGTCTGGGTGCCTATAGTGTCCCTTTAACATTGAAAACTATTACTCCGATGTGAAGGAAAACACTCACATAGCTTCAAAATAAACAAAAGAGCTGCTTTATTGTAAGCCAATGTACATTATTAAATAGTCAATGGTTCAGTTCTATTACCTTTACATATTAAGGAATGTTATGTAATTGGTCTGAATGGTGACAATATGCTGTTGCACGACTAACAGTAAAGGTGTCTTCTTTATTACTGCACTCTTCACTGTTGTGTTGCAAAGTGCACTATAGCAACAAGACAGGGCCACAAAGTGCTCATTACATAGATGTTATGTATTAAAGGGACACTATAGTCACCAGAACAACTACAGCTTATTGTAGTTGTTCTGGTGTCTATTGCCCGTCCCTGAAGGCTTTTTAATGTAAACACTGCCTTTTCATAGTGTTTATTCAAAGAAAAGGCAGTGTTTACATTACTGTCTAGTAATACTAGCACTGCCTAGTAACATATCTAGTGGCAGTCACTCAGATTAAACTGTAGTGATTCTGGTCACAATAAGGTCCCTTTAAGAATTGTGTTTTTGTCATTAAAAACAAAGCTTTGGTAGTTAAAAAAAAAAAGGTGGCTCCTAACTATTTTAGCTGGCTCCTAGATTCAAAGCAAATTCCTCAAGCGCTGCATAAATACATGTGTAAATAGTTTAGGCATAATACATATACTGCTAAACACACATTAATATACATATACATACACCAACAAAATGTATAGATTTGAAGCAAAACCTGTTTAATAAGAGATCTTTCTCTCCCCTGTCAATCAACTCTTGGCATAGAAGAATTGAGATATAGTGAGAGCAGGAGAGACTATCTACAGGCAGGCCTTCTGCTCTCTAAGCATAGCAAACAGTGCATGAACTGTGGATGCTATGGATCCACTTTAGCCAATGATGCTAGTGCTGGTTTGGAAGTACAGGTTTAGACGCCAGCATGCTGACAATGATGCCAATGTGTTGGTTTGCTGTGTCCCCAAGCAGGGCACATGAAAACAGACTGCAGGTGGATGGGAGGTGGGTGAAACACCCACAAAGCTGTGGGCATGGCGATGCTGATGGTTGAGGTCAGTTTATAGCTAAATATTTAAATTTAAAAAAATAAAAAATTAATTCTTTATTTAAAAGGTTTTTGGGTTATTTAAACCAAGGCTTGAAGCATCACGCCATTTGATGCTCCACATTGAAAGCACCGTTACCCACTTTGCTCTCACCATTCCAATGGGCCTCCCAAATAACTACATCCCAAATACCAGTTGTAGCCTGGAGAATCATCCCATGTGCACATATGCTGTGCCTCCACTGCCCTCTAAGACTGGGTCCGCGAGAATATATAACGCACATATTTACCGATCACATACCTGCTCAGGGCGAATCCTATATAAGACATTGAAAACAAAACTAAAGTCAATGAGATACCCTTGTCTTACTCACTTACGACTAGTTAGCACTCACTACCTATCTGCCACCACTCAGCTAGTCAGGACTTCTTCACTTGCATATTATTTTGTTTTCACAATTTTTGTTACCAACACACAAAAAAAGTGCTGAGGTTTTATGGGCCATGTTACATTCAATGCTTCTACTACGCATAATTGCGATGTCATGGCGTATTTAACATACCTGTAATTATTATTAAAAAAGTGTGCGGTTTCTCTTAATGTCATGACAATATTTAATACCATCTGTTATTGCTGTGCTTGGGACTGCTGTTGTTTCTCCGCAAGCTTACTTTGTCATCATTCGCACGACAAAAATAAAGAATATAAATTAAAAATTAAAAAGGTTTTTGGGTTTACAGAAAGGAAAAGGCATACATGACAGTGCCTAGTTGGTATCACAAGTAGGTTGCAGGTCCATGGTATCTTGCAGTTATACTTTGTGCATAATACAGTTCTAACGGGGTTTGTGCTGCCCAACCCGGCCGCCAGTGGTATCGGGAATATAACATAATTTATCTCTGTGATAAATTATAAGTTCAATGCATGGGGGGATTTATGCTAAAGTAAAACTCACACTCTGACTGACATACACAATGTTACTTACACACACACATTCAATTTGACACCCTTAAATACAAAACACGGTCTAGTGTGCTATCATATCCCTGGTGTCGGGAGTGGGAAGGTGGGCAGGAAAGCCATGCAGTGTGATGCACAGGCTCATTCCTGCTCTTTTTGGAAGACTTTTGGGTAACAGGCAAGGGGCAGCCTGAATACCAACCCAAACATTCTCTACCTGCCACAAGCTTCAGTTATTGCTTGGGAGTTAGGGTTACATAGCAGTCCACGCCAGGCAGAGTATTATACTAGTAACAGTTTGGAGCTAATTGAGAAGGACACAGAAATGGTAGTACCTCGCTAGCATCGTAAAACTGCCTCCTGTGCTCCTCTCTTGCTCCTCTCCCCACCTGGCTGACCCAGTTTTTCTCAACTTTTCAATTTCGGAGGTTTTTTTTTTAGCCGCAGCAGTAGCCTGCAACCTCAGGGTACATTGACCCCTGCTATTTAGCAGACATGGGTGGTTTCAAATCTCCCTTTTTACTAATACAAGGGTTATAGTTGGCTGCTAGTGCCTTTTAGAGAAGATGATCTCCTCAATAAATGATGAGTGCATCACCAAATCCAATAATTGCAATGGAAAATATGTGAAATTTTTTTATATTTATTGGCTCTCGATTTGAAAGGACAAAAGGGTTATCAGGAGCCAATAAACAGCTGGTACACTTGATCGGCTGATATGTTATTGAGGCTTGCAGTGCTATAGTTACGGTTTCCCTAAACATTACTCTGCCATTGAACATATTTTACAACCACTAACAGTGTTGAGTAAAAACATGTTACAAGTGAGATTACATGACTGAGAATCAATGACTAATTACTTATGGTCATAACCTCAGTAAATATTTTTGTAAATAATTTAGAGATTATTAATGGAAGAAACACAAAAATGGTGTGTGGTGTCAAGCAACTTACTAGGAAAAGATTTTCAGGCTTATTTACTAAACGGCAAATTTTAGCAAAATAAAACGATTTAAAAAAATGGATGCTGTGACTTTAACAGAGTTGCAAAATTCTTCCAGATAATTAAGCTTCCATTTACTCATTCAGATTTAATTTTCTAAAATGTACAGATAGCTTAGTAACTAACCCTACTTGATATCTTATTTCATAAAAAGTCTTTATCTACTTTGCACATATCGTTTCCCCTCCCTATCAACAATCTTCCTCTAAATGAGATAGACCAATCTACTTCAGTTCACTACTGCACTTCTCAGCTCCTACCTATTGTATTGCTCTACTTCTGCCCCATATCAGTCCTTTTCTTCAAAACTCCATGTCAATTCCATTTTCTCACCTTACATCACGGTATCACTTTCACACACTCCATGTCAGGCCCCTTCTTATACTCCCCATCTGAGTTTCAGCATACACAGTCACAGCAAAGCCATTTTAGCCTCAGTTTTCCAATGAGTTTTAATTTGTTAAAATGTGCAGTTTAGTGAATAACCCTGACATTATTTTCCAAGTAAGTTGCTTCAATATGTTTGCTAAGCTTACAGTACAGTAGCAATTTGAGGTGAAAGAAAGAACACTTTTTATTGTATTCCCACACATAGCTCCAAGCAGCTGGGGTTTTGTGTAAAACAGGTAATCAAGGAATTCATTAGTTGCACCAGGTGTGCTTGAGTTGGAACCCTAGAAACGCTTGAACTGGCTAGGGGTTTCTTGAGTGTCAAGTTTGACTGCATGTTAGACATATGGCTAAGTCAAAAGAATGATCCAGAAAGTTAAAAGGCGAGATCATCGCCCATCACAAACAAGTAACATGATACAAAAAGATAGCAAAAGCACTGAATGTTCCTAGAGACACAGATGGAAGCATAGTTTAAAGTTGAAGAAACAGTAGTTACACTACCTGGATGAGGGAGAAAATGTAAGCCGTCAATTACTGCAACCAGATTTCTGAGAAGACAGGTTGTAAAAAATCCTTGAGTGACTGCAAAAGACCTGCAGAAAGACTTTGTGGAAACAGACACTGAGGTTTCAGTAAGCACAGTGAGGTGCATAATAAATGCAGGAGGTTTCCATGACAGAACTCCAACACATACACCAGTACTGACCCAAAAGCATGAGAAAGTCAACTCTAATGTGCTCCAAAACATATAAATAAGCCACTGACATTTTGGACTTCTGTTCTGTGGAGCAATTAAACAAAACTGGAACTTTTTGGCCCAGTGGATCAGAAGTATGCCTGGAGGAAGAAGAATGAAGCATTAAAGTATCAGGAAATCCTAGGAGAAAACATTATGCCATTTGTGAGGAAGCTGAAGCTTGGGCGTCATTAGACCTTCCAACAGGACAATGATCCCAAGAATACCTCGAACTCCATTAAGACTTGATTGCAGAAGAAATCCTGGAAAATTCTACTGTGGCCATCACAGTCACGTGACTTGAACCCCAGAGAAAATCTCTGGTGGGATTTGAAGAAGGCAGTTGTAGCACTCAAAGCTAAGAATATTACCAAACTGGAGGCCTTTGCTCATGAGTAAGATTAGTCAGGAAAGCTGCCAGAAGCTGGTGCCTGGCTATGCAACTCATTTGCAGCTCCTCATAACAGCAAATGGGGAGGAGCAGATGCAATCTCCCCCAGCTCCCGCCACTGAAGCAAATTATTGCCCCAAACTCACGAACTGCCCGACATCCAGGGCCCTAACAGTGATAGCAGTGCTGGGGATAACACACGGGTCCCGTGGATGCCTTTTTTTATGCACGGGAGGCACCAAAATCGGGCGCAGAGTACCTCAGGCCTACCGCGCGGGAATCCCGTGGCTGCCGCACATTAACCTCTGGGACGGAGACGACTTTGACCCGGCACCACTTACAGCCAGCCCACCTATGGAACCAACGGAACACATGAAAGGCTGCAAATCCCAGAAGCAGGCGACGACAGCAACTCTCTCAAACCATGATATTGGCCAGATGCTGTCCTCGACTCCACGCACCCGGGGGACATCGCCACACCAGCCTGAGACAACTCCCAGCATGGTACGGGAGAAAGCACCTACAGACGAAGCCCGGGCTGCGCTTGGAACATAAACACCTTGGACAAAGCAGCAGGGCCCAAATGGGGATACGAAGCAGCCCTGGAAAAAAATCTTTGCCAGCCCCATAAGCACATGTAGTGTGTGTTAGATAATTTAATTAAACAGTAAAGCATACACACATGCAGACACAGACAATCTTACTGATGCACACAAATAGGCTCATTGACAGACAATCTCAATGACACACACAAACCAGGTTACTGGTACACACACAAATTTAGTACAGACAAACTCTGATACACACACAAGCTTACTACAGACAAGCTCACTGTCACACACACACACGCACTACAGACAAGCTCACTGATGTGCACACACTCTCCCTACAGACAAGCCCATTGACACACACATGCTCCCTACAGAATAGCTCACTAACACACAGATTCACTACAGACAAGCTCACTGACACACACATGCTCTCAACAGACAAGCTCACTGACACACATATGGTCACTACAGACAAGCTCACGATCACACACATGCTTACTACAGACAAGCACACTGCACACAAATGCTCACCACAGACAGGCTCAGACACATCCAGTTACCTACAGACAAGCTCACTAACACACACACACACAGGATCCCTACAGACAAGCTCACTGACACACATACAAGCTCACTCACTAACAGACACACACACACAAACTCACTAGCAGGCGTACACACACAGAGGCTCCCTCACGAGCAGATGCACACACACATAGAAGCTCACTCACTAACAGTTGCGCGCACACACACACACACACACACACACACACACATACAGAAGCTCACTCACTCACTAGCAGATGCACACACACAAAGAAATCCACACACACAGAGGCAGACAGTCACACACACAGGTAGACAGTCACACACACACACACACACACACAGGCAGGCAGTCACACACACACAGGCAGGCAGTCACACACAGGCATGCAGGCAGTCACACACACACACAGGCAGTCACACACTCACAGGCAGGCAGTCACATACACACTGACCTGCTTCTTACCTCCACATACCTTGCAGCTCCTGGAGAGTGGAGACTGGTTGTTGGGGAAGCAGGGACTCCTTCCTGCTTCAGATGCTGCAGTTACCAGGGCCTCTGCCGCCCACTAAGCTCCGCCCCCCCCAATATATATATATATATATTATATATAATTTATTTATTTTTATCCCGGCCAGCCATGTGTGCCGGCCGCCTGGCTCCCCCTGCTCCCATAGGGCCCTGTGCGGCCGCACAGCTCGCACATGGCCGGCCGGGATTGCAGGAGCCTTATCACTGATGAATAGGGCTGTCAGCCCAGCCCCAGGTGCCGCGGAAATTTCCCGGTATCCCGGTGGGCCAGTCCGGCCCTGTAAAGCAGGACATACACAACTTACTGGCACACTTCCAGGACATGTTCTTTGCAGAAATCAATCTGGTAAAAACTGAATTACAAGCAGACACAGAACGCCTCCGAGCATATGAGGAGGACACTGCTGACCTGAGGCAAGGCATGATGACTCAAGGGGAATAAATACAGCACCTGCAAGATTCCCCCTACTTGCTGCCAGAATGGATACCCTAAAAGACAAGAGCTGACAAAAGAAAGTCAAAATTCGGGATGTGTCAACAGCTGAAAGTCTATACATTTTGACAATAAATCCGATTTTAAATGGGGTTGAATCCTTTTGATTTACAACTGTATATCCCCTGATGGTGTGCACTTATGTTAGTTGATTAGTTACCTTTGTTCAAAGTGGCTACAAGGAAGCTTGATATTGCACAATAATCTGCAACGCTGCCCAGAACACCTTAAAATGTAATCCACTTTCAACTTTTGTTACTTGTTGTGACCTACTTGTGCTAACTTGGGTTACAGTTAAGTGCAGCTACACAGGCAGTTCAAAGTTACAGCATATGATGATATCTTGTCAATGCTGCTATCCAGTGATACCTGAGGTCCACATTATCTTTAATTATCGTTGCCATTATATTTTAAAATGCCACAAATGTAATAGGAGCGCCTGGACATTCCCGACAGCTAAACTCTCTAAATAGCACACAAAGTTAAATTTCTAAATGGTTGTCAATGAACTCATAAAACAAACACTACTGTAACAAATAGTGGGGTGACTCAATTAAAATGACAATACAGTATAAAGAGATAAAACACTCTCACATATAAAACAAACACATGCACTATGTTCATGGTTAACAACAATACTTTAAGAGGTGGAGAAGCACCATGGTGTCACGTACAGACTGGAAAATATAAGAAAAGCAAATACTAAAAGAACAACAAGTGTATTACCAGACCTTAGAATGGCCGGATTAAGCGCACCAAGAATAGTACAAGACAAGCCGAGGTCAGGGATACAGAATTTACAATAAATGTATGGAAAAGCCAAAGGTCAAGGACAATCAGAAGGGAGAATAGTCAAAGATAAGCCGTGGTCAAAATGCCAGAAAATACAAGAAATAAACGCGGATTTACCACAAAATGGAAACCACGACAGGGCATCAAACAATTGGTGAAGTGAGTTTAAATAGCCTAAGTAGGGTTCCCATTGGTTGATGGGACCTGGTGACGCCAAAACGTGCGTGCAATTTGTGTCTGACTTTAAATCGCTGCTTGTGGAAGCAGCCGGCATCCATGGAAATGCCAGCGCGACTTCCAGCCATGTAGCATAGGGACACCCAGCAAGAGATAAGTTTATTATCTATTTGTCAGCGCTGTTCAGGCGCGGAAACGCGATTACGCCAACCGGGCCCGGTCAGGCAATATGACACATAGTACCTAAAATTGGCAAGGAACATTTATATACACATGTTTAAAAACACACATGCACAAATGGGCAGATCAAGTTTTCACAATCCTGTACTGAATAGATGGTGATATTACCAGTTCAATTATTCTATTTAATGATCTGGAAGAAAATGCATGGTCCTCCTAAATTTGGGCAAAACCAGGTTATTAATGTCCAAGTCTGTCTGAATTCAGTGAGTGTTACAGTTTCAATCACATATCTCCCAACAGCCCTGAGTCCTGTCCCTTGGGCTCCTGTCTCTTCTTCCTGGGTTTGCTCTCCAGGTTCAAGAGATACCAGAGACTAAGTCCCTATCAAGCGCATTGCTAGCACATCTTTAGACTATTGGGAGTTATGCAACGGCAAGTGTCACCATTTTATTCAGATTGCTCCAACTAAACTGCACAATAGTCAACTTATCAAATAGCTATGGTTGCGTTTTTGGAGAAAAACTTTGTTGTTTTAGTGTAACTATTACAGTTTAGTTGTCAATTCCCCAAAAATATATTGTCTGGAAAATGAACCTCTTAAGTATCTAATTAACAATAATTCCCAGCATAGAGGTAATTCGAATCCAGACAGCTGAAATAATTCAACATATCTGTGAAGTCTAAAATAAGATAGGAAAATCCAATTGTGAACAGACTGCTGCATGGTTTTAGTGACTAAAAGCTAATCGCCTTATATAAGATTAGAGATTAATTACCCAGGAAACAGTTAGAGGACATTTCAAGACCAATAGAAAATATTGTAATTAAGCATTCTGCATTCTAAGAGGAGTCCTGTCCTTGGTAACGTTTTATTTTTTATATATATATATAATTTGAGTGTAATTCATATTCTGCCCTTTATGACACGTTCACAGAACAGTGATGCTGAACCAAGAATGCACATTAAAAGGGCATACTAAGGACCATTATCATGATAGTTTGTTTTACTGGGTATGGTGCAGTGTGATATATCCAAAGTTTATGTCAAATGGCCGGACAAAGAATTATAAAACAAATAAAACACAGAGCTGTCCCAATTCAATGTGAATTTCAAATTTAAGACCATAATAGCATAACTGGAAAAATTGTCAAAGTCAAATATGTTTCCACTATATCCTCAGGCAGACATAGAAAAACATATCATTTGGACTGTCCAGCTGCTTCAAAAGATACAGACACAAGTGTGTTTAGTTGCACATGTGCCTTGCACTGTTTAGTGGTGACAAGTTCCAGCCAAACAGCGAGAGGTAAGGCACCATGCATAATGAGGTAAAGCTCTCTGGTTGATTTTCTTTTATATTTACTGTCCCTTTCATAGAAATGACATCTGAATGTAAACTAAAACAGCAAAAGGGATGGCGATGTCAACTAATTTCAAGCTGCTCTTTATGAACGGTCGTCTTCTGCGTCAATAAAGCATAAGATAATATCGCTTTTTATTGTTGACATTTTCAAGAGTGATTTAGTTAAGTCGTACCAGACTTGAATTTGTGAATTTAATGTATATGGGGTAGAATTGAAGAACCATTTCTCTACAATAACATAAAACCATATAATATTTTAAGAAGGCAATGAATTACAGCCAGTACTTAAAGAAACATTTTAGTGTTAGGAATACAAAGATGTATTCCTAATACCAATGTGTTCCACAGCCCAAATGCCCCCGCCCTCATGTTGTAATGGGTTAAAGGGACACTTTAGGCACCCAGACCACTTCAGCTCAATGAAGTGGTCTGGGTGTCAGGTCCCTCTAAGGTTAACCTTGCCTGATGTAAACATAACAGTTTCTGAGAAACTGCTATGTTTACATCTGGGGTTAAGCTAGCCTCTAGTGGCTGTCTTCCGGACAGCCACTAGAGGCGCATCGGCAATGACTGAGGCATATTATGCCTCAATCACGCAGAGCGTCCATAGGAAAGCATTGAAAAATGCTTTCCTGCGGACACTTTGAATGCGCGCGCGGCAGTACCGTGCATGCGCATTCGGCGCCGGTGACGTCAAACAAGGATTCCTGACCCTTTAAATAACCGTTTATTCACCCCCCTGATTTTAGCACCAATGTACCTCGGCGCTGGGTCGCCATCTGCCTCCTCCGATGTCATCCGATGTCGCTCATTAGTCCTTACCTATAGGACAGCACTGCCTCAGTGCTTTCCCATGGTGTTTTATCTGAAGCTGGAAGGCCTCATGTAGCATGAGGATGTCCAAGATCGATTGACAGAGTCTAACTCCATGAAACTCCAGGAAGCGCTGCAGTCTTAGTACTGCAATGTAAACATTGCAGTTTCTCTAAAACACTAATGTTTTACATTGCAGGGCTAAAGGGGACAGGGTCACTGCACCCAGACCACTTCAATAAGATGAAGTGGTCTGGGTGATTATAGTGTCTGACTCACAGACAGAAATCCAGAAATTGTCAATGTGCACTTAATTTATTAAGTTGCCAACATTGATTTGCAGATCATTTGAAGGAGCAAATTGTGATCACTTCCCATCTGCAAATTATATGTAATCCAAACAATCAATTTGTGAAAAAAATAATAAAATAAATTAAATAGCTTTATGACAAAGACTGACAGACACAAGATAGAGGCACTCACTCCAGGATAAAGCGGTTTGGATGTCAATGTTTAATATTTTCAGACTTTCCAAACTGTTACAGGATTATTCACTAAAGTGAGAATGTAAAGTGCATTTCCAATTTAAAGCCAAAGTAGTCAAAACTGGAAACATAACTAACTTAGAGAAGATTTTCATTTCGGATAGTTTGGCATTAAATTTTAAATTCCCTTTGTATTCTCACTTTAGAGAATAACTCTGATAATATTGGAATTCCGAGGCGTGATGGTTCCTCTTTAAGTGAAGTACACTATTATTATTTATATAGCGCCAACAGATTCCAAAACACTGTACAATGGTTGGACTTACAGACAAGTTAGACGCACGGGAACAGATGGGGTTGAGGACCTTGCTCAAACAAGCTTACATGCTAGAGGAGCAGCTTGAGTACAGATTTTGTGCGAGGCTTCACTGGCTTCCAATCCTACTGAATAATGCAGACATTGACTGTGCTTCTAAAATCAAGACATATGGTAAGTGGGCTGTCACTGAGGCAGTAATGTGCAGGAATTGAAATTTTGGCAACACAGGGTCTGTCAATCTTAGTATATTATCAATGTACATGTCCAAGGCTACCTGACTTTAATGGGATTCACACTTGCAGACAACCACCACCATTTACAACTACTGTGACTTGTTCTACGCCAGAGTTAAACAACCAGAAGTAACAGAACCGGTTGCCTGAATGACAGCCTGGGGGTGTAACAAGGTTAATTTATAAAAGTATACATTTCTATTGAACTCTTCACTTTTGTAATAATAAAAGATAACACACTATTTACAGATAAAGCACTTTGGCAAGTTAAAGTGCTTTACTGGGCTGAAGTGTCCCTTTAATTAAAAGGTACACTCCACGCACCTAATGCACTTTAGTTTTCTGAAGTTCTTTACAGGTAGGGTTACCATATCCACTATGTTTTTCAGGGACACATATCATGCATATATATTAATGGGCAGTACATGAAAAGGATAGCCCCGTAGTATGTAGAATTCAGAAGAAGGTGTATATATTAACTAATTAGCAATGAAGAATCCTGCAAGACAACCCTTTTAATGCTCCTTCGCAGACCCCTCCGGCTTCACCGGGGCGATGTGCAGTCCAATCACAGGCTTCTCATAAGGAAGCCTGTAACTGGACTTTTTCTCTGGCTCAGAGTGTATCCACTCGTTCCATGCTGGCAAGGGGAGGGAGCTAAACAGATGGAGAGTAGGGATGGAGGTTTTGTTTTTTTATATCAATTTGCATGGAGGGAGGTGAGAGCGAGGGTGGGAGGGGTGAGCTTTCTTCTCCTTGCATACGCAAAATTTTCATGTCTGTTGGCAGCGTGCAGTGCGTGCTGATGACAGATATTTTTTTATGCACAGAATTGACATTAGGTCTCCCAGGATTATTTTATAACAGTGAGATTGTCACTTTTGTAAAAGTCCTTAGTTTGTCCCCACAACAAGATTTCCTGCTTTTACTAAGTATACTTCAAAGTGTAAGTGATGGGCTGTACCAGTTTTGGTGTTTGTAATTCATATACCTATAAATGAGTTGTAATAAAGCGCAAGGAGAATTGCATGATAGGCTACCAGGGCCGGACTGGCCCACCGGGATACCGGGAAATTTCCCGGTGGGCTGTCGGCACCTGGGGCCGGGCAGACCCCTGGGTCTGCTGGCGGCCGCTGGGGAGGTTATCTGGGGGCTTCTGGCGGCCGCTGGGGGAGCTGCGCTGGCTCTGCTCCCCAGCGCACAGCTGAATGAGACCGGTGCCGGAATATGACGTCATATTCCGGCGCCGGTCTCATTCAGCAGCGCGCGAGGGCGGGAGAGCAGCGCACAGCTGAATGAGACCGGCGCCGGAATATGACGTCATATTCCGGCACCGGTCTCATTCAGCAGCGCGCGAGGGCGGGAGAGCAGAGCCAGCGCAGCTCCCCCAGCGGCCGCCAGGACAAGTCCCCCAGCGGCCCCCAGAAAACCTCCCCCTGGCAGGTATTAGTAATGTGTCTGTCTGTCTGTGTCATGGTGTCTGTCTGTCTGGTGTGTGTGTGTGTGTCTGTCTGTATGGTGTGTCTGTCTGTCTGTCTGTATGGGGTGTGTGTCTGTGTTATGGTGTCTGTATGGTGTGTGTGTGTCTGTCTGTATGGTGTGTCTGTCTGTCTGTGTTATGGTGTCTGTCTGTATGGTGTGTGTGTCTGTCTGTGTCATGGTGTCTGTATGTATGGTGTGTGTCTGTCTGTGTTATGGTGTCTGTCTGTATGGTGTGTGTGTCTGTGTTATGGTGTCTGTATGGTGTGTGTGTGTGTCTGTCTGTATGTATGGTGTGTCTGTCTGTCTGTGTCATGGTGTCTGTCTGTATGTATGGTGTGTCTGTCTGTCTGTCATGGTGTCTGTATGTATGGTGTGTGTGTGTGTGTGTGTGTCTGTATGTATGGTGTGTATGTGTCTGTCTGTGTCATGGTGTCTGTCTGTATGGTGTGTGTGTGTGTGTCTGTCTGTGTCATGGTGTCTGTCTGTCTGTATGGTGTGTGTGTGTGTCTGTCCGTCATGGGGTGTGTGTGTGTGTCTCTGTCCGTCATGGGGTGTGTGTGTGTGTCTGGCTCTGTCGTCATGGGGTGTGTGTGTGTGTGTCTGTCCTCATGGGGTGTGTGTGTGTGTCTGTCTGTCCGTCATGGGGTGTGTGTGTGTGGCTCTGTCCGTCATCGGGTGTGTGTGTCTGTCTGTCCATCATGAGGTGTGTGTGTGTGTCTGTCTGTCCGTCATGGGGTGTGTGTGTGTGTCTGTCTGTCCGTCATGGGGTGTGTGTCTGTCTGTCCGTCATGGGGTGTGTGTCTGTCTGTCAGTCATGGGGTGTGTGTGTGTGTGTGTCTGTCCCATGGTGTGTGTTTGTCTGTGTCATAGTCTGTCATGGTGTGTGTGTGTTTAAAAATAGTGTTTTTGCTCACCTTTTTTTTTTTCGCCACGCAGCGTGCTGGTCTCCCCTCGACTGGCCCTGCCTCTATAGCTGAGATCATCAAACTTCATGATCTCAGCCAATCCAATGCTTTGCCATAGGATTGGCTGCAAAACGCCACTCCAATCAGCATCTCCTCATAGAGATGCATTGAATCAATGTGTCTCTATGGGGAACGTTCAGCACCTACAGAGTGTGGAGGCCCTGAATGTAGGTGCACTAAAACAGGAAGCACCTCTGGTGACCGTCTGAGTGACTGTCACTAGCAGTGTCACTTTGAAGCAATGTAAACACTGCCTTTTCTCTGAAAAGTCAGTGTTTACATTGAAAAGCCTGTAGGGACATGCTATAGACACCAGTACCACCACATTAAGCTGTGTGTGTGCGTCTGCTAGTGAGTGAGCTTGCTTGCATGCGTGTGCCTGCTAGTGAGTGAGCTTCTGTTTTTATGTCAATGAGCTGATGTATATCAGTAAGATTGTTGGTCTATGAGGCTGTGTATCAATGAGCTTGTGTGTGTCATTGAGATGTCAGTGAAATTGCCTGTGTCTGCATGTGAGTATGCTTACTGTATAATTAAACGTTTTACCCTGAAAGGACCAATATTTTATATTAGAAAAAGCTATATATATATATATATATATATATATATATATAACTCAATCATCTGTCCTGGCAAGACATAGTCTTACATATTACACGCGAAAATATATGGCGCAGTGACTTATGGGGCTGGCACAAATTTTTTTCCAGGGCTGCTTTGTATCCCCAGTCCGGCCCTGTAGGCTACCCACGCACATGAGCAATTTGTCCGCAAGGTTTCTGAATTAACAACTGGTTCTCCAACTAATGTAAATTTCCTTTTTCTTACAGTCCTCTCAAAAAATATTAAATGTATGTTTTTTGCGGAGTACATAATCTAACAGGTTATTTACTAAAATGAGAATTGTAAATATTTTAAAGTGAATTTCAAATTTGTCAACGAAGGCGAAATGGAAGTATAACTAACTGGGAGATTTTTTTTCCATTTCGACTACTTTGGCCTAAAATTTGAAATTCACTCTGAATTCCCAGCAATTCTCACTAGTGAATAACTACAATTTGTTTTTTGTTGTTGTTTTTTTTAAATTAAGTGTTCTTTTTATGTCAACAGCAGGAGAAAGCATCTGTTACTCAGGAGTGCATTCCCAATAATATGATAAGCATGATTCATACAGCGACCACTACTATATGAACTGCCCTTTAACTACATTGCAGGAGAAAGATATTTATTTCGATAAATAGCTCCTGGTTCTCCCTAAAAACTAAAATTGCATATACAATACTTCATTAAAAATTCTAACACATTATGCTAAAATAGAAAGCTTTTTAAAATATATTTAGCAGATGGAGAACAATAAAGAACAGGATAACTAATTTATCATTTCTGTATGATAAACACAATGCAATGGTTACCATTTATACAACTATTCACTGTATAAATCGCTTATAAACACCTTTGCCTTGCTCTTATATTAATTCCCAATTAGTTTATACATTGTACAGTGTAATCACCCTATGTCTGTTTTATAATCACACACAGACAGTCCTATTAATTTTATCCATTGTGCCATCCTGTATTATCACACACAGCCAGCCAGTCCTAATAAATCTATACCTTGTTTCCACCTGTGTCATCTCACATACACACAGTCAGCCAGCCCATATAAATCTATACATTGTTTCCACCTATAGCCAGCAACTATACTTCTGGATTGCACCACCTCTATAATCTCACTCTACCAGCCCCTATAACGCTATACCTTGTGCCATGTTGTATAATCACTCACAGCCAGCCCCTATAACTCTATACACTGTGCCATGCTGTATAATCACTCACAGCCAGCCCCTATAACTCGATACACTGTGCCATGTGTATAATCACTCACAGCCAGCCCCTATAACTCTATACACTGTGCCATGCTGTATAATCACTCACAGCCAGCCCCTATAACTCTATACACTGTGCCATGCTGTATAATCACTCACAGCCAGCCCCTATAACTCTATACACTGTGCCATGCTGTATAATCACTCACAGCCAGCCCCTATAACTCTATACACTGTGCCATGCTGTATAATCACTCACAGCCAGCCCCTATAACTCTATACACTGTGCCATGCTGTATAATCACTCACAGCCAGCCCCTATAACTCTATACACTGTGCCATGCTGTATAATCACTCACAGCCAGCCCCTATAACTCGATACACTGTGCCATGCTGTATAATCACTCACAGCCAGCCCCTATAACTCTATACACTGTGCCATGCTGTATAATCACTCACAGCCAGCCCCTATAACTCGATACACTGTGTGCCATGCTGTATAATCACTCACAGCCAGCCCCTATAACTCTATACACTGTGCCATGCTGTATAATCACTCACAGCCAGCCCCTATAACTCGATACACTGTGCCATGCTGTATAATCACTCACAGCCAGCCCCTATAACTCTATACACTGTGCCATGCTGTATAATCACTCACAGCCAGCCCCTATAACTCGATACACTGTGCCATGCTGTATAATCACTCACAGCCAGCCCCTATAACTCTATACACTGTGCCATGCTGTATAATCACTCACAGCCAGCCCCTATAACTCTATACACTGTGCCATGCTGTATAATCACTCACAGCCAGCCCCTATAACTCGATACACTGTGCCATACTGTATAATCACTCTCAGCCAGCCCCTATAACTCGATACACTGTGCCATACTGTATAATCACTCACAGCCAGCCCCTATAACTCGATACACTGTGCCATGCTGTATAATCACTCTCAGCCAGCCCCTATAACTCTATACCTTGTGCCATGCTGTATAATCACTCTCAGCCAGACCCTATAACTCTATGCACTGTGCCATGCTGTATAATCACTCTCAGCCAGCCCCTATAACGCTATACAATATGCCATCCTGTATGTGGGCTCTCACCTGGTCTCTGAGGTTCTGTCTTTCCCACCGGTGTCACATGACGTACAAACCTGCCCAGCTTCCCCGCTCCGTGTGTGACTCGTCTCCCTGGTAACAGCTGGCTGCGCAAAGTAGGAGGGGCGATGTGGATGACGTCATGGTGTCAGTGGGCTGCTCTTCCTGGTGACTTTCTGGCTCGTGCTGGAGAAGCGCCGCGCGGCTGGCTTGGAGGATCGTAACCATAGCGACAGCGGGGCATGTCCTGGCCTTGTGTTTACAGCCTTAGTAATCTGTCATTGTTTACCTGTAGTGAGAGCCAGTGTGTCTATTAGCAGCCTCGCTGGTTGGACAGTGCAGTGTTTAGAGCCCTGCAGCTGTTCCCATGGCTCCTACTGAGTAACTGATGGAAAAAGCAACCTGTTGTGTCAGCTTTGTATTGAGAATAGGGACCTATTCACTCAGTTTAACCCCTTACTGACCAGGCTGTTATTCATTTTTCTTACTGTTAAGGACCAGGGCTGTGTTTAAATTTCTGCGGTGTTTGTGTTTAGCTGTAATTTTTCTCTTACTCATTTACTGTACCCACACATATTATATACCGTTCTTCTCGCCATTAAATGGTCTTTCTACAGATACCATTATTTTCATCATATCATATAATTTACTATAAAAAAACCCACACTTTTTCTAAGTTTGACCCCCAAAATGTTACGCATCTACAACTGCCAAAAAACACCTAAATAGGTGTTAAATAGTTTCTACATTTTGTCCTGAATTTAGAAATGCCCAATGTTAGCATGTTTTTAGCTTTTTTTGGAAAGTTATAGGGCAATAAGTACAAGTAGCATTTTGCTATTTCCAAACCATTTTTTTTCTAAATTAACACAAGTTACATTGTAACACTGAAATCTGTCAGGAATCCCTGAATAGCCCTTCACACGTATATATTTTTAAAACCCTTAAGGACGGCGGGCGGCATAAGGGCATAGAATGTCCTAGCCGTTCTTGCCGCCCACGTGGCTGGCGCCATTACCCCGTTGCAGATCGTGGTCGGGGGGCATGCCTGGCCCCCGGAGACCGCAGTCTGTAGCTTCCAATCGCAGTGACAGGCTGTCACTGCGATCGGTATTTACCATGTGTCAGCCGATTTGAAATTGGCTGACACATGTAACTGCAGCCATTAGCCCCCTACAGATCACGGTGGGGGGCATGTCTGTACCACCCAGGCACTCCCCCTGTGGCCAATTACCCCGATCTGTAGGAGGTTATCACAGTGACAGCCAGTTACTGTTAGTATGTGTCAGCCAATGATCATAAATCACTGGCTGACACATTGTCTCTGCCCCTCACTTCGATCTGAGAGAGAGAGGCAGAGAGATTGTTGTTGAGCTGATCCTGTGAAGAAAAAAGTTTTAATACTTTATAAAAAAAAATTTTTTAATTATTTTATTTAACCCTGTCAGTGCTGATCACAGCATATTACTGTCATCAGACTGATTAGGGCATTTAGTACTTTTGTACTATATTTAATTTTTTGGGGTGTGTAATTTTTTTTGACCCTTTGTGTCAGTCGCAGCAACCCAAATCTCCCTTAACCCTTTCACCGCTGCCATGATCACTGTACTGTACAGTATATCTGCAGTACAGTACTGTATCAGTGATCACTGTGATCAGAGGGCTCTCTGATCAGACTGACCTTTTTTTAGGGTTATTTTTATAGATGAAAAAATAGAAATAACCCTTTCAGTACTGATTGCAGCTGCCTATACTGTGATCAGTACATTTATATTATTTTTTGAAGGCGGGTAGTAGGTGTTAGGCAGGCAGATTATAATTAATTACCCCCTTAGTATATAAATTAATTTGTCCCCCTAGAATGGCACGTCACTACTCAGCTGAGGAGGCGTATGCCATTCTGGCAGGCAGTGATAGTGACACTCTGCAAGACAGTGACACTATCACTGCCTCTGACATTGAGCCTCTGAGTGTGATCTCAAGTGATGGTGCCCCTCCACCACTCACAAGAGGACGCTCAGCAAGCCCAATGCCAGACGTAGACTTGGTGCCTCCAAACATGAAGGCCCCAGAAATACAGCTGTTCACTGTTACACCTGGCATCACTGTAACAGTGTACGACTGCGAGCCAATTCGTTTATTTGAGATCTTTATGTCGGACGATGTATTTGAGCTCATGGCTCAGCAAACAAATTTGTTTGCCATGCAGTATCTCTCTGCACATCCATTATAGTCGCATGACTGTGTGGAGACCCATGGATGTCGCAGAGATGAAGCGGTTTTGGGCTTTAACCCTAATGATGGGTATAGTTTAAAAGCCCAGTATCAGGTCCTACTGGAGCAAGCAACGCATCCTGGCGACCTGGTTAAATCCCTTTGTTCCTGGCTATTTCCCACTTGGTTCAGTAAATGGGGCTTACTGAACCAAGTACCACACAGGCGGACCAGCCAGAAGTGGAAGTGTGCAGGCAATTTACCTCCCAGGTTGGGAGCCTGCTGTAGGTAAATTGCCGAACGCTGGGTGGCCGCTGTTCGCGCAAACGAACACGTGGCGGCGCCATCTTTATTCATTCAAATACGGTCAGCGGTGTGTGCAGCCAAATTCATGGAACTAAAATCGGCTGCACATTTCCGCGAACACCGCTGACCTGTACCTTCTCCCATGCTGAACTTTCAGCTGCAGAGACTAAGTCCCATTCAGCCTGAAGTAGACCGACCGCGCAGCCCAAATCTATGGAACAGTTTTGGGCAGGAAAATGTGCTCGTGGTCGGTCATAAAGGACTTCCGGCTACCTTTTTATCTACTGGATGGATTTGTCTGATTTTTGAGTGTTTATATTTAAAGTGTGCTGATTCTGAATATGTATGTATAAAGATTGGACGTACATTTTTAAAGTTATAGTACATGTATAAAAACTGTATTTTTCCTGCCTGTGTTAATTATGTTAATGGACCATTATAGGCACCTAGACCACTTCAGCTTAATGAAGTGGTCTGGGTGCCTGGTCCAGCTAGGGTTAACCCTTTTTTTTATAAACATATCAGTTTCAGAGAAACTGCTAAATTTATAAATTGAAACAGCCGACAGCCGCTAGACGCAAGCGTCCATAGGAAAGCATTATGAATGCTTTCCTATGAGACTGGCTGAATGCGCGCGCAGCTCCTACCGCGCATGCGCATTCAGCCGAAGAGGAGGAGGAGAGCTCCCCGTCCGGCGCTGGAGAAAGTGTTACGTTTAACCCCTTCCTCTCCCCAGAGCCCGGCGGGAGGGGGTCCCTGAGGGTGGGGGTACCCTCAGGGCACTATAGTGCCAGGAAAACGAGTATGTTTTCCTGGCACTATAGTGGTCCTTTAAGCATTGTGTACCATAATTAGAGGGGAGGATTTTGTGGGTAATTGCTGGGAGTGTTTTCTGTAATGTACGTGTGTTATTGGTTGTTCTGTAAAACCCTGTGGGTGGTCCTATGTAAGAAAAAACTGCATAAAAGAAGGCCCTTTGGTGCCAGGTAATACAGATCTTCTTGACCCTCAATACGTAGCCTTGTCTCGTTAGTGGAGGGAACTGCTATAATCACACTGGGGATTGCTATGCTCTGCATACTCCCTTTAGCTTTTAATCACTTAGCTCTTTTAAGAGCTGTTCCTGTTACGCTCTCCTGGAGGAGAGGTCTTCCCCACACGGTCCTGGAGGACAGAAGCTGATCAAGGGTGGACAGAAGACGGCGAGACTCCAGTTAAGCTACGGCGGTTGTGGAGTCTGTGGTGGTTGTGTGTCCAGTGCGGTGCTTGTGGTCCTCGGCGCAATGCTAGGAAGCGTCCATTAACGGAAGGTTCCGTCACAGGTAGCACTGCGCATCTGGAAAAGCTGAAGAGCATTGTAGACTACAGCAAGTTTATGGGGGGAGTAGACTTGGCTGACCAATGCATACAGTCCTATCTGTTGAACCGAAAAACTAGGACCTGGTACAAGAAAATTGCAATCTACGTGAGCCAGATTGCAATTTTCAATGCCTATGTCCTCTTTAAAAAAGAGGTCATAGGTAAGCCCTGCCCTTTCCTAGAATTCACGCTGAGCCTTTTGTCCCGTATGTTATTTACCCAGCTTTGTGGCAAACACTTCCCTTCCCGAATCCCACCCACCTCCAGTAAAAAAGCTCCCCAAAGAAAGTGCTGTGTTTGCTACAAGAAAGGAGTCCGAAAGGACTCCAGTTATTATTGCCCAACCTGCCCATCTCTACCCGCCCTCTGCATAACAGACTGTTTCAAAGTCTACCATACAGAGCTGAACTTCTGAATCACTCTGTATGGGACTTTGGCAGTTTGTTTGCTTGATTTCTTTGGATTTCTGACCTTGGCTTGTCCTGACTACGCTTTGTTAGCTGCCTGTACAGACCCATTGGCTTGTTTTACTGACTACTCTGACTTCTGGATTCCCCTGACCTTGGCCTGTCCCTGTTTACGCTAGCCATTCTAAAGTGGCTACACCAAACAACTCAAAATACTACATTTGTAGTAATTGAAATATGACTTCCTTAGCTCGTACTGTCTGGGTCAATTACTTCAGGCAGTCCCTGAACGCCAGCACATATGGCACAATAGGGGTTCCATCTGCACTACTCTCTCCCTCCCAATGCTCTCTAATCAGGTCCAACGGTCCCCGTACCCGTCTCCCAAACAACAGCTCAAATGGAGAAAAGCCGGTAGATTCCTGAGGTACTTCTCTATAAGCAAACAACAAATGGGGAAGGAATCGTTCCCAGTCCTTATGGGTCTCTCCGAACGTACGGAGCATCTGTTTTAGGGTACCGTTGAATCTTTCACATAATCCGTTGGATTGGGGATGGTAAGCGGAGTTTACGATTGGCTTAATGCCACATACCTTCCATAATTGCTGAGTGACCTCGGCTGTAAATTGGGTCCCTCTATCAGAGATTATCTCCTGAGGAAATCCTACCCTAGAGAAGATTTTCATCAGGGCCTCCGCTACTGTTTCAGCGTGTATATTAGATAGGGCGATAGCTTCCGGGTACCGGGTGGTGTAGTCCACCACGGTTAGGATATACCGCTTCCCAGAGGGGCTAGGCTTGGGTAGCGGCCCCACTATGTCTACGGATACACAGCTAAAAGGCTCCTCAGTGAAGGGAAGGGGGCACAGTTTCGCTTTGTGGCGGTCCCCCCTCTTACCTACCCGCTGACACACGTCGCAGGAGGTACAGTAGTGCCTCACATCCTTGGAAATTCCCGGCCAGAAAAAGGCGTGTGTCAGCCGGTACCGGGTACGGGTCATACCTAAATGCCCAGAGAGGGGAATATCGTGAACTATCCTCAACAGCTCCGGTCTATATTTTTGGGGAACTACCAACTGCTTGGTCTTCACTGTGACAGAGCCCCCTATCACCCTCTCGGCTATCCTGTACAATAGCTTTTTCTCGCAAATGTACCGCTCCCCCTCCAGCCCGGCCTGATCATTACTTACTCTATCCCTGTATATCTGTAACGTGGGGTCTGTCTGGACCTCGGCTTCAAAGACGGTCGGGGTGTCCCAGGTCATATAGGTCAGGGGGAGTCACGGTCTCTTACCTGAGCCTCAGAGTGTGTTTGTGGAACCATGGTGCGAGCCTGTTGTCGAGTAGTCACCGGATGCGCCTCTTGCAGAGGGGCCTGAGGTACAAATGCAGACATCATTCGGCCCAAGTCATTCCCCAATACGACATCCGCGGGTAATTTTTTCATAATAGCCACTTCCACGACCCCCTCCCCACACCCCAGTTCAAATATACCTTCGCAGTGGGTAGGCGGTACATGGCTCCCCCCGCCACCCGTACTGCCACAGACCCGCCGGTGTGCGCGGTATCTGGTACCAAATGAGGGGCCACCAGGGTCAAGGTAGCTCCCGAGTCCCGTAGTCCCTGTACTTCTTTCCCCCCCACAAACACAACTTGGCGATGATGCTGCCGGTTGTCGGTGGCTTGGACGGACATCACTTCATATAAAACGCCCAGGGGTTCCTCGGTCTGAAGGCTCAGCAACTCTTGGGTGTCAGGTTCCACCTGGTAGTGATGTGCCGCTGCCCTTGGGGTGGTGTTCTGCCGCACTTGGTTCCACGCTTGTCTGCTCTGGTTCTGGGTGCACTCTCGGGACATATGCCCCCACTGCCGGCAGGTATGGCACTGAATATTTGACCTGCCGTTGTAGCGAGAGGAGGGTGGCGGGTTCCCTTGTGCTGGCCTAAACGGAGTTGAGTTAACTGGTGCGGAGGGGATCGTGTAGGGTGGTGCAGGTGGTCTCGGGTAACTCTTACTAATTGGCCCATGATGCCTCCTGGCATCAAAATGTTGGTCCGCCAATCTAGCGGCTTGCGGTAGGGTGAGAGGTTTGCGGTCCCTCACCCATTCTTGCGCTTCTGGGGAGAGTCCATTAAAAAATTGTTCCAATAGCATAAGTTGGCGCAGTTCCTCCATGGTGGTGGCTTGGCTTGCCTGAATCCACCCCTGCGAGGCTTGGTCCAACTTGTGCGCCCATTCTGTGTGGGAATCCTTCTCGGGTTTGCGTAATCCACTAAATTTGCGTCGATACGCTTCGGGCGTGATGGCATACCTCTCCAGTATAGCCCTTTTTACTTTAAAATAGTCTTTACTGTCTTCCCTGGGGACAGCGCGATAAGCCTCTGCTGCCCGCCCTGCCAACTTTCCCGCTAGCGGGGGTACCCATACTGCCTGCTCCAGTTCGTGCAGGTCACATAGCCGCTCAAAGTCCTGTAAGTACCCATCAATTTCGTCCTTCTCAAAGAACGCTTTGAATGCATGATACGGTATTTTCGGTTTTACCTGACCGCAGATGGAGGCAGTAATGGATTCTGCCCTGGATGGTGCTCCCTGGTGCTGTTGTGCCATCACATACTCCTGCACGTCAGCCATCAGGACCGTCAGGATATCCAGGGGCACTGGCTGGGGTAAAAATTCCAGCCGGGTTCTCAGCTCCCTGGCTGGTGGGGGTGTGCTGCTGTGCGCTCGGTCGACCCTCCATCAGTTCAGCGATCAGCACGGCTTTAGATTTATTGCTGGCGCTCTTTGCTCTCGCTTCCAGCAGTTCCTTAAGCGTCTGCCTTTTCAACGTAGTGTAATCAGTCTCCATTCACTGAACTCTTTCGTCTGTTTGCTGTATACGAATTGCCATTCCCTTTTTCCGTTCGGTTGTATCTTTCATTCGAATGCGCTGTTTTGGCTGTAGAGTTGGATCCCGTCACTTGCCACCAATTGTAGCGGAACGCCAATATTAAATCCACGAATTCCGCTGGTACATACAGTAATCCACAGTCAAGCGCTGGAAAAAGCAAGGCAATATCCCAAATCTCCCAGTAACCGGACGAAACACAGTTCTGAGAGTCAACTGACGTCTTTATTTTCAGCTCCACAATTTATACAAGTCCCAATGCAAGGGGTTTCCTGAGTCCCCTCCCATGGGCATTCCCAGAGGGGACTACATGGGGGACTTACAATACAGAGCATTTTTCCCATCAGGCACTGCTGCACAATTTATATTAAAATACATAGCTGTGGTAATATACGGTTCATTTAAATGAATGGACATTCAGTAGATAGCTGGGGTCTGAGCGCATCATTCATGAGATTACCGCTCAGATCCCAGCTAAACCAACCGAACACCGCACGAAAAACACATTCATTAAAAGACATGTTCAAAATACCGATTGTCTTCCAGGGAACCAAATACCGAACGGCCCGGGACTCCCGAGCGGCCTGGAAGCTCAGCGGTGTTCGTGCCGTCGAGTAGCCGTTTTTAGTACCATGCGCTCGACGACCAAACACCGCTGAGGGAACAAAGGATCCAAGATGGCCGACCGCCGCATGGTCAGTTGTCGAACGACGGCCACCTTGGAGAGCCTCTAATTACCAATTGCAACATTGTTGCAATTGGTTAACAAGCGCCACACGTCTCTTAGTGTGTGGGCTATTAAAGGATAGATCATTAGGTTCACTAACGGCCCGCAAAGATGCCGTTCGTGAAACGAAAGGAAATCAGCTATCTGCTTTCGGCAGATAGCCAATGCAGGCAATACAGTGTTACACAATTCACATTACATTATACTCTGGAACACACATATCACGAAAATCATACAGGTAACCCTTAAAGCGACAGTACTTAAATAATGTCCAAGTGGCTAGGTTTGCCACAATGACCCTGTAACTTGCCAAAACTCCATAAAACCTATACATGGGGGGTACCGTGGCGCTTGTGAGACATCACTGAACAGAAATTGGAGTGTTTCAGGGCAGTAAACTATATACTAACAATAATATTATCAGTGAAAGTACAGTTTTTATGTGAAAAATGCAAAAAAACAAAACAAACGCTAACTTTGGCTAGGGTTTGTGCCCAAGTGGCTACAACAAAAGACTGGGCATACCCCATTTGAATACCCTGGGATGTCTACTTTTTTAAATGGTATGCCAAAATGGGGGTCATTTTCATTTCATGGCTGCCATACGGTCTCAAAGGCAGCCTAGACACGGCAAACTAATCTGGCAAATTTCAACGTGAAAAAAGCATAAATGGATAAGCCGTATATATGACCCTGTAACTTGCCAAAACCCCATAAAACCTATACATGGGGGTTACTGTGGTGCTTGTGAGACATCACTGAACAGAAATTGGAGTATTTCAGGGCAGTAAACTATATACTAACAATAATATTATCAGTGAAAGTACAATTTTTATGTGAAAAATGCAAAAAAAAAAAATCTGAACACTAACTTTGGCTAGGGTTTGTGCCCAGTTATGGACAAGCAGTATATTTGACCCTGTAACTTTCCAAAAACCCATAAAACCCCCTATACATGGGGGGTACTGTTTTACTCGTGAGAGATTACTGAATACAAATATGTATGTTTTATTGCAGGAAAACCGAACAGTATTCTGACATTAACAGTTAAATAGCCATGCAAAAATGTAAAAATAACAACATTTCTTAGTTTTTTAAAGTTTTTTCAGATTTTATTCGTATAAAATTGCGTTCCACATATCAAAATGTTTGGGTGTCTTGGACAGTTACAGGGTTAAATATGGTGCCAGCAAATTAAATTCTCTGGACTTTTGGCTTGGGTTGTCAGGCAGGTCCCTCAAATTGCAATCAATAAAATTAATTATGTAAAAATATTACATACATTTGCACGTAGAATTTAAATATATAAACATATTTATATATTTGAAGTCTACATGTATATTTATGAAATTATGTAATCATGAATATGGACATATGTATATTTTGTATTATTTTTATTTATTTATATATACATAGATAAATATATATATAATTTCATTCTCAGTGTATTTTGATATATATATATTATTAAAATACAGTTAGAATAAAATTACAAATATATATATATAATTTTTTAAAACAAATTTTTATTATTTTTATTTATTTTTAATTAATTATTTATTTTTTATAATATATATTCAATATATATAGTTATTATATATATTATATATATATATACGTGTGTAATTTTACTCTAAGTGTATTTTTTTTATTAATATATGTGTATATTAATAGAAAAATACACTTAGATAACGTTATATATAAGCTATATATATACATATTATATATAGATATGATATATATATATATATACATATATATATATATATATATATATATATATATATAGGTGAACGCTTGGCACTCACCTCCCAAAAAATATAAATTTTTAACTCACATGCCTGGGTGCAAATTGTTACGCCATAATATCATCTGAAAACACCACGCTTCAATCTCAAGCCGTCTTTTCAAGAACCGGCCTTTTTTCTATCTTGAAAAGACCCGCAGGACAAACGTGCTTCATTGATTTTCGTGCCATCGCCAGATGATTTATTAAAAGCACCCGAAGTTTTCCTATTTAACCAGAAGACCAGGAGTGTTTTGATTTTATTTTTGTTTATATATATATATATATATATATATATATAATTTTTTTTTATTAACTTTATTTTTTTATTTTTAACCTTTTTTAAAAAACTTTTTTCACCAGCAGGGGGACTGCTTATCAGTTCAGGCAGTCCCTCTGCAGGCAACACTATGGACATCTATTGCGGCCATGTGAACACTCTTTCAGAGCGATCACATGGTCCTTGGGGTCCTATTTTGCTGAAGGGGGACTGTCTGGGCTATCAGACAGTTCACCCCAGTGGAGAAGGTGAAGGGAGAGGTGGTTAATATTTAAACCTTCTGGTATAGATTTACTAGGGCTGGCTATCTGGCTGTGTGTGATAATACAGGATGGCACAATGTATAGATTTAATAGGGCTGTCTGTGTGTGATTATAAAACAGACATTGGGTGTCACTGTATGAAGGCAATGTATAAACTAATTAGGAATTAATATAAGAGCAAGGCAAAAGTGTTTACAAGCGATTTATACAGTGAATAGTTGTATAAATGGTAACCATTGCATTGTGTTTATCGATACAGAAATGATAAATTAGTTATCCTGTTCTTTATTGTTCTCCATCTGATAAATATATTTTAAAAGCTTTCTATTTTAGCATAATGTGTTAGAATATTTAATGAAGTATTTTATATGCACTTTTAGTTTACACCACTGCCCAGTCTCCCTCTGGTCCGGCCCCCAGCGCGTGCGACGCTCTTAGGAGCACCGACCGATGCAATTCAGATTTTTGTAGTAAACTTACCTTCGCCCACACCAAAGATGGCTCCAACGTGCGCGCGGCGTCACGTCAGTGCCCTGTCGTGGTTTCCCTTTGGTGGTTATCCGAAAGTGTGTTCCTGATCGTGTATATCTGATTTTTTTTACTTTTACTTCGTTCTGACTTCCCTGATTTCTGGTACCCTTGACTTTTGGCTTTTCCTTATCGCTGTTCCTCGTTCTGAATCCCTGACCTCGGCAAGTATTTTGACTATTCTCTGGTACGTTAAATCCAGCCATTTTAAGGTCCGGTTAGACGTTATCTGTAGTCCAAGGTGCGATACAATTCTGTGTGCTAGATCAACAGTAATCCTGACACTGACTGAATGAGAGGAGAAAACCGTGGTATCAATTCTAGCCGAGGCTAACATCCATTTGGCCTAGTGAGCGAGAGTAGGTGTAGACACTGGTAGGTGAGGTCTCTTGAATGAGATGAATAATGGGCCGTCTTGTGACGGGCGAACGGAGATGTGCGCAACTCATATTCCTTCAAACATAAACAGGCACAGATTCGGTTGTCCTGGTAATCTAGGGTAAAAGACATTCTTGGTCACAGACTTCGTCCTTTGTGAGATAAAGAAGGATACTCCTTCTGGGATGAATACCCGGGCTTGCCAATCCAAAGCTCTGACGTCAGATACTCATTTGCAGGATAGCAAACAAAACAGCATAAGTAATTTGGGTGATAATTGTTTCAGAGATAATTTGGTGTTTAGTGGCCAGTTGTCTAGTAGTTTGAAAATCCAATTCACGTCCCAAAATTATCCATACTTAGGTTTTGGGGGGCTTGAAAAACGAATACCCTTGAGTAGGCGGCAGATCATTGGGTCTTGCCCAATTGGAAGACCATCTAAACTTTTATGTCCTGCAGGTATCTTGACGGTACGAAAGGCCTTGCCTGATTCGAACAGGTGCATAAGAAAATTCAACACCATATTCACAGTAGCTGATATAGGATCCACTGACCGTTCCAGGCACAAATCGGATCACGTTTTTCATGCTGCATGATAGGAACTCCACGTTCCTGGTGCCCAAGCGTTTGCCAGGAGTTGGGCAGTTGTTTTTAAAACATCTGTGATTTCCCAGGGTCCGGGAAATGAGCCATGCTACAAGACACAGAAAGCCCTGGTCTATGAGTCTGTGACTCTCCCCATCCGGATTGGTCAGAAGGAAGGGGTTGTCCGGTAGCAGTCG